GTTGTTGTTGTTGTTGTTGTTGGGTTAAAGGGGAACAACCAAACCACACAAAGCCGGAAGCAGCAGACCTCTGGCGCAAAATTGCATACGCATGACACCGAGAGGGCAGCAGGGCCCGAGCAGAGACGAGGTCGTGTGATCGATGCGGTCAAATTTTCAGCCTAGGGGGGAATTGGGACACAGAGAGTTTAGCAGTTTAGCATTGTACGAAGAGGCCCTTGGTGGTTGTTCTTGTCGTGTGTCGGGACAGCAGGGCTAATTGCTGGACTTGAGGCGCAGAGCATGGGAAAGACGGGTATCACGACAGAACGAACATCAGGGAGTAGCGATGATCGTTGCCGACAGTCGCAGTTCTGGACTCCTGGACTCGCCTGGCGGTGACGCCGCGGGCTAGATGTGATGAGTCGTTTTGGCTTGCCACTGCATATGAACGTGCACCTGCATCTAGCAAAGTCCGTTCTAAAGCAGCAGGTGAACTCGCTGTCGTTGCGTTGATGGGGTCGATCGCAGAACTTGCTGTAGGAGTCTGCAGTCTGCGAACGATCGAAGGGTTGTTCTGAGTTGGGAGGTTGCCGATGCATCCGATGCTGATGCTGCGCCCAGCCCGGTCGCGGAAGAGCCGGCAGAGCCTTCGGAAGTAGAGGAATTATCGGGCTTGGCCGATAGGGGGGGGGGGGGGGGGGTGAATGCTGTGTTTTGCAGACTGCAGGAGGCTCTTGAAGATGGCATCAAAGAAGGTGGACCGGGGCAGCCTCTGCCCGTCCCCTCCCAAGTAAGATCCTTCATTGACATGCTCTTCCGTCATTTTGTTTCAGATCTGAGGCCAAGCGGGTTGGGCGGCCTCCACCAGGTCACGCTTCCCGTCCTTAGCTCCTTAGCCGTAGTCCTCGAGTCGTAGCATTCCAGCTCAGCCTGGATGAAGCTTACGGGAACTGCTGGAGCATCGAGACGCAGCCGTCCCTGCAATAACACACCGGTAAGATGACAGCAAACTTCACCCCACCCCACCCGCATCTGCCCTGATCTTGGAACCACCATGCTTCTTTTTTATGCTCGTTTACTGCAGATTGCGTGTAGCAATAACACGACAATAAAATCTTTTAAATGGAGGAGGGCCGTGTGTGTCCAGAAATGGCTTGTTTTGACTTCTCGGCAGGCAAGGACATGCGAGTTGGCATCCGAGCATCGGTTCGCCGTTCCAACTCCGGCACAAGGAGCCGCGCAGGCACAGAGACAGCCTTTGCGGTCCATACATGCGCAGCGTGCGCTTGAGCATGGCCCTTTAAGTTGCGATGAGAGGAGTTTTGGTAGAAAGCTTTCTTGCCGGCAGGCCCCGGCCCCTACCCTGCAAGGGCGTCGAGCCCTACTCTCGGTTTCTGTAGCACGAGACCGTGGAGAGACCGCCAGCTTCCAAGGTCCTGGAGCTGTGAAGGGTTATCCCGGGAAGCGATAAGTTGCAAGCTCGCATGGCAGCAGTGCAGCAGTATGGTGTCAGCACAATTGTTGTACAATGGACCTGACGTCGCGACCTGTTTCGAGTTGTTTCGAATTCATTGCAAGAGCTTTGTCAAATACTGACAAGGAGCATGTGTACATAGCATAGCTTAGTGTGGCCTGTCGGCCCCTGAATAATGGTTCAACCCGGAACTGGGTGGAATTAAGTCGCTGCTCAGTTGCCTGTGCCACCCTGCAGGTTCCAACGACAAAAATAAGAGAGAGCATGCAGTGGAGCAGAACCGGAAGCGACCTGGGCAATTCAGGACGAAATCAAGATCGGCGGGAGAGATCGCGAGCTGCGTCATGCTGAGAAAGTCTACGAGAAGGCCTCATGGCGTTAAGTTTGCATAGTTTGATGCTGCCCACCAACGGACGTGCAAGGAGCGGCAACTCCGAGATCCGTTTAACCAGGACAATGCAGTGCGGGGCTTCGCTGCTGTTGTTATGACCCGGGCTTCATGATTCATTATTCTGTGGCGACGCCAATTAAGCGTTGAACTGTCGTCGCCGCCACAATTTCACGAGGCTCGTGGATGGTATCAGCGCACCACGACAGCCACAGGTGCTCTCGTCGTTGGTTGCGGTGCTTTGGGCTTGTAAGATAAAGCCCTGCAGGCAAGACCATCACTGCAGGTGGAGGTGGGCCTCGTGTACAGGCCTGACCTGCCTCATCGCTGAACTTTGAGATGCTGCCCGCCTGGGAAGGCCGGGTACGGACGCAGGACGAACCCGAATGCGAACAACTTTCGCGGCAGCTTGGCTCGCAACGGGCCTGTGAGGATTTCTTGCCACCGAAGATCCTGCAGTGCCAGGCTTCAAGTCGAAAAAGAGGTAGCTCGACGACGAGCCCTTGCAGCGCTGCACATCAGCTTAACTGCAGTAAGAGGCATTGTACAAAGGACAAAGTCTGCACGGACAAGAGGCCTTGAATGAAGCAGAGGCATGGGAAGAAGGGCTTTCAGGTCAAACGCCAAACTAGACTGGCATTGTCCAGCAGCGAGCCTGCTCTGAAAGAGCAGATGTACAGGTTGAAGCTTCGGTAGCCGGTCTGCTGGAGAAGGAAAGTGGGCTTGCGCGCAGCTCCGTGCATGAAGCCACCCAGTGCTTTCTGCAGCACGCCATGAGATGCTATCGGCGAGCGCCGCATCTGCAGATCAAGCAGCATGTTTGCCGGGCTCAATTCAGATTTGGTTTGCCTCTTGAGACACTCGCTTCCGTGAGCCCGCCATCTTCACAGGCAGCCAGTCTGATGTGTGTGTGTGTGTGTGCATATGAAAGCTGTTTGTCGCTCACCGCATGTGTCTGTCAGGTTGCACGCAGAGATCATCCGGCCTTGCAGGCCCAGCACTGCCTGCAGGTTATAGTCAGATCCCATCTTAGCGGTTGATAGTAGCGCTTGTGTACACCAGCATCGGCGTCGACAAAGTCTCCTTCCCCTTCGGAACTGGACTCGACCCAGCACAGTAAGCCCTGGCTTGCAACCGTCAGCCATCGAAACTGGGTCGTACGACTCCCAGCTTTCATGCTGCCCAGGATTAGCAAAAGGGTTCGTGGCCCCACGCCTGCATCTGTCAGCACATATCAACGCAGAACTACCCGCTGTGTCAGCATGCCCGCAGGTATCTTCCGTGCTCTGGCAGCTGCCCGACCGAGGCAGGGAGCCGGGCAGCCGCTTCACCATTGCTCTTGCAGCCACTCTCGGCTCGACTGTACGCCTCGTCAGCCTGAGGAACATACGATCTTGTAAGAACCCGAAGAGGGCCAAGGCATAGCCTTTGGCGAACTTGATGAGGTTCACTCAGATCGACGGGCGGGAGGGACAAAGAAGTTTCCCCTTCTGCTCCGTATTTTTGCCCTGTAGCCCTGACAATGATCTCGTCAGGGACAGCCCGGATGCAGTTCTGGAGGAACCAGCCACCCTTTTCTCAGCGTTGGCAGAGAAAGTCACACTCGCTGAGCCAGTTGCGCTCTGTAGTGACGCATTTCTGTTTCGGTATTCACCCTCAAACTTCCGTTCAACTAGCGGGGAGGGAATCTGGTTGACGGCCTTACGCAAGCGACTGTTTCCGAAATGCGGAACAGGGCATTGCTGCGGAACGATCAGCAGGTTTCTACCAATTGTGCGTCTGTCTTAGGTAAAGCCGATGACGATCGATGCTTTCTTGGCATGTGTTAAGCATGATTCGCCAGGCTCTGCATGGCATTGGTCCCGGCGATGTGGCGCAGTGCGTCGTGTGAGGTGGTCTTTCTTCCCTTGCCCGCACAGTTCGGTCATGTTCCCTTTGCATAGGATTTTGCGCTGATGAACACCGCACCTCCAGACGATGTCGAGCGCTCGCGCATGGTCAAGGCGGGGCTTCGAAAGATGACAACTGCACTTCGTCTGGAACCACAATATTAGACCGGCCGTGCCATGCTGTGCCATGCTGTGCCAGGTCATCCAGGGTACGTGGGTTAACGTGGACTGCCCGGCTGAGAGGCGATTCGACAAGCATGGCGACAGCGGTGAAAATCGGTTGAGGGGAGAAACGGGTAGACGGAGCAGGTACACCGTTGTTGGACAACACGTTACGCGCCTGAACCTCAAACCACCCAGCAGCAAAAGGTGCGTGTTACTGCTTGTCATTGCCTGGGTCAGTGCACTCAGGCAGCGACGTTCAAGGCTGTCGCCACTTCACCCTGTTCTGGGATCCAAGAAGGACGGGGAGCTACGGTCACCATTTCAAGAAGTGCGTAGTCTTTTTTCCGATCGATCCAGATTGCTCAGCTCGGTGCAGCCAGGAGCCAGCTGCAATGGGGCACCCAGGGCAGGCGCATGAATGGGGGATGGGTGGAAGAGGTGGAGTCAGGTGGAGGCGTGCGGATGTCGGCTGCCAGGCTCTACCTTGCTTGCCTTGGTGATGGCCTGGTGGCCTGGGTGCCAAGCAGGCGCACGGACGCAGAGACCCACGGCGCAGGGTCCTGACATGTCGTGGCTCGCAGGTACAGCTCCCGCGCCTGGCGATGGCAGCGCACAGCAATGTGTTTGCCTAAGTCAACGACGGACCAGCAGCGCGGACCCCAATCGCGCGCTTGCTCACGTTGCGAACGCGTTTCAGACCGCCGCAGCTGCCGCCACTCTGGGCACCGCTGCCGTGTCAGCAAGGATCGTGGCCCGTTTCTTCAGGCTGTGAGAAGAGCAAAAGATGCTTCGCCTCGTGCGAGGACTTTCACCTCACCCTGTGATGCGGGTGCCAGTGGACCTCTCAGTCGATGGCGACGGGCTGCGATGGGGTTGGCGCCACTGCTCGTAAAGTAAAGCCGTAAAGCCTGCTTAAAAACCGAATCTCTCCGGGCGGCAGCAGGTACGAGTTCCCGAGGGTTCGCGATAGTTCACCTATCCTTCGCTTTCAGGCCGACCACGGCTTTGGCTACGGTCCTTGGCGAAGGCTTCACGTGCGAGCTACAAAAGAAACTCGCTTGGCGTTGTTGGCATGGCGAGGCCCTACGGCGCGGCTCTTCGCAGTTGGGGGCCAGGCTACGGAGGCGACACAGCGAAACCGCGACACGAGAGCGGGTAGCCACATTCCGACTCACCCACAGTTTCAGCAATGTCAGGTCGTCCGACGGCTCGGTCCCCGGCGACGTGCAGACTTCTTTCGAGTATTTCGGATGCCCCTCGGCTGCTTGCCGCGATGACCCTGCAAGCTCCAAGGACTTCCCTCGCCGGAACTGGAACCATGGCTTCCACCTTGGGTGTTTCGTTTCGGACAAGATGCCGAGAGAGAGAGAGAGAGAGCACGTTGAACCACCAGAGCCTGCAGACTGTAACTGAGGCTATGGCCGCAGCTTCCATGGTAATCGCAACATACAAGGACGGACTTGAGAATCATCAGTGGTGCATGACCTTCTGTGACTACTGTATATGCAGAATCTTGCACCGCTTGTCTTATCTGTAGTGTGGTCCTGCCCCTTTGTCCCTGTTTAACATCGGCTGGGAGAGCTTGTAGACCTATCGTAGTTGCCAGCCCTATCAAAGAGGGGCTGTTGAGGTCGACTCTGCAGAGTGCGAGAAGCACAAATGCACAGGGGATGCAAGATTTGGTCCATGCGCTAAGTTGAAAGCATGGCCACCGTGGGGTTGTGCAGGCATGAACCTGGAGACTTCCCGCCTGGCCTGTGGGCTTTCAAGCACCGAGGCCGATGCTCTAGCACGTGAACGTCTTGAAAAAGAATCCTGCAAAGGTCTTCGATCTCCTCTTTCGGGACATCACTCCGGATGACTATGAGACCCTGCTGCGCCTCGATGAGTCGGTCGATCGATCAAGGCGACATACTGCAAAACCCTCCCTGCATCAACGATGTCTAGTTGTCTAGTTCTAGGTAGCGTTTCCGCGCTCGCTCTCTTTGTCTCTCTCTCTCTCTGTCTCTCTCTCTCTCTCTCTCTCTCCCTCCGAGCATGTTCGATGGTTTGTGGCCACTATATGGTGCCGCGTTATATAGTACTATATTGTACTATATTATATTATATCATGCTATACTAAGATACATGTACGTACATCCATCTATCTATCTAGCTATATCTCTCTCTATATCTATGTATCTAATAATAATACTTATAGTACATATAAATAAGTACATAAACAAACAAACAAATAGATAAATATGTATATATATATATATATATATATGTATAGAGATTATATATCATATCCCATCATGCCGTATCATATCATCATACCATAGCACAGCACATCACATCATACATACTATCTTGTATGATCCTATCTCATCTGATATCATGTTATATTTTGTGTATGTTATGTTTGTAGATGCCCACAGCCAGGTCTGCAGGTACATACCTCTATATATATATATATATACAACGTTATGTATGTATGTTTTTGTGTATATATATATACATACAATGGGGACGGGCAGGACAGAGGCCTGCCTCCTCTTTTTCCGGCAGGTCTCGGCTTTCTTCTTCCCCATAAGGCCCAACAACAGGGGAGCACCGCGGGGAGCCTCGACCGCTCCCTGAACCCCGGAGAACAGAACAGTAATAGCCCCGAGAACAGAACAGTAATAGAGACAGCCCGGTGAAAGAAAGGCACACGCACGACCCGCTCTCTGTGGCTGAGTTGAAGAGTATAACACATAATATCAGTACAAAAGAAGATCGAAGCTCGAAAGCATAGGGTGTCAGCCAAGTTGAAAGGCCCTTTTCGGCTTCTGAACCTCTCTCAATGCCACTGCCTCGACCGCTCTTCTGCCATCCTTTGTTTGATTGCAGCTCTTGGCTTCGTTGACTCAAAATAAAAAACAATATATGCGACACTCAAGTCCAGACCTTTCCGCAAACATGGTTTCAAGAGAAGGACAACGCTTTGAAGCAACTCAAACTTGATCTTCCTTGGCTTGAACCTTCAGCACTGAAAGGAAGCTCACCGAAAACTTTGTTCAGGGAATGTTTTCTTTTCAATTCAGCTCACGGAATACCTCACGACTGTTTCTCGGATGATGGAAAAACTGAACTGAGGATTTGAGAGAAGTTTTTGCCGGGATGTTAGAGCACTTTGAGGTTGCTTTTTCGATATTTTGCAGTTGTTGAACGTCGAAGATTTCCGCAGACATAGAGCATAGGGTTTATTTGTGGTCATGGATAAACCAAGAAGAGGCTGCATGGCTCAATGGTTTCTTCTTTGATAGGTTTCGTGGCCAGGGCACCCCAGCACTTACGGGGCAACGTGATTGCTGGAATGGTCTTGAGCCGTGCAAACGCATGCCCCGCCGACCCCAAATTCTCCAACCCTGTGGCTGATGAGCCAGGGTTGTGGCTTGGACTGCGCATGTTTAACTTATCCGTTACACACATGGCGCTCTGAAAAGGATTCGGAATTTGAATGGTGGCTCGCCAAAACGTAACCGGAATTTCAGACAGTCCTTTTGGGAAGCACGAGTCCTAAAGCACCGATTCTGAGGACAGACGCTGTCTTAAATGTCGACATGCACCGGTAGAACGGCTTCGCAAGTGGGAATCGCATTGCCCCGGCAGGTATTTGTTCTAAATGCATAGGAATCATAGTATGCCTGAGGTGGGGTGGCATTGTACTGTGAGATTTTGACATGCCGATAGCTGATGTTGTGGATGGTAGACTGTCAACCTTTAGCCGGCTGCATCACTGGCAGATAGAAATCGTAGATGTATATGTGTATGTACATATATATATATATACAGACATATTTATGTAACATACATATGGACACAACTCTTAATGCGATAAGGTGAGGCCAATGTCCCTACCAAGACGCCTACTAAGTTGCTAGGGGCTCTTGTCGACTGAAGGTTCTAGCAACTCCACTGCTTGGCTGGTACCTCTTCCGTCTCGCAGTCGTGTATAGATCAGCGGGCTTAATACTCGGGCCTATTTGTCTTCCGCGCTGTGACCTTCCATTTTCACAGGTCCACCGCCAGTGCTTCCTGCATCAGCAGCCTGAAGAAGGACCGCTCCTGGGAGCTGCACACGTTGGAAGAGCGATGCAGCTGACACCTGCGGCTTGCTTTCAGGTGCCGGGCAAAGATCTGGTCGGCGAGGTCGGACAACTGTAATGTGATGTGGGGCTGCTGATGACGGGTCCAGGACATGTTTCTCAGGGAGAGTGCTTTAGGGCACGAAGCGGTGTTGAGGTTGTGTTTTGTGCAGACGAACATGAGCAGTAGGTCAGATAATTATCCACGATTCTGTCCCCTTGTGCCAGCACGCTTCGTGTTCTCGGCGAGCATGTTGCAAACTGGAGGCTTTGTGTTGACTTCGGATGCCGGAGTTCTTTCGAACCGTCGTTCATGCTTTTTGATTTGTTGGCGGTGGTGCACAGTAAACCTGATTCTGGACTCCTAAACCCTAAATCCAGCGCAAGCTTTGGGTATCGGTATAGGGTTTGCTGGGTTTCCGAAAACCCACTAAGCCTGAACCCTAATCTGTCTCAGCGGATAGCTGAGGGAAAAGAGGGTTCAACATACAAATCTGTCTCTGCCACAACAGCTTCCTGAAAGGGTCGCGAACCTGTAAGTGAGTGACATAGCTTTCTTGCAAAACCTCACCAAGCTCGGCAACCCCAGAACCTCAACAACACCTTGAATAAAGGGCCCTAAACTTTCCTAAACCTCTTCTGAACATTTCAAGAACGATATAGAACCGCTCTAAAGCTCGAACAAAAGTGCATGAACCGTTTTCACAAATAAATTATGAAGACGAGTTGGAAGTTGAGGCTGGAAGCGACTGACACAAAGGAACCGCCATGCCGTGGCGGCAAAGGGATCAGCGGGGCTCCTCCGAACGTCAATCCCAGTCATCGTCCGCCGGTCCCCCACAGGGTGACCAGGAGCACCTCACGCCTGAGCATGAAGGATGCTTCCCCAAAACGCCAGCCCAGCCCCCGAGCAGAAATTAAAATGGCGCCCCAAAAAAGCAAAACTCTGCCGGAAATGCATGCTACTGTTCTGTTGTCCCGCAAGACTAGACAAGAAATTTGTGCCCTGTTCAGATGTGCTCGGTTTGCCTGGTGGCCTTCGACGACAACGCTGTGGCGGCAGAACTGCCGTGCGGGTGCGTCCGAGTAAAGGGGTGTGGGTGCGTCCGAGTAAAGGGCTTGTGACTGAATTTGTCCTCATGAGGGTGTCATTCAATTCGCTGAGGATCTGGCCTGCACTTCGCTTCAACAAGGGCAGGTATGTCGATTGAAGACGAACTTGCTTTTCTGAGAATAGCATTCGAAGACCGGAGCCCCTTTCTATGAAGCCTGGTGAGACATCATCCTAGTCATTTAGGAAGGCACTTGAAGAGCTGAATCAGTACTTGTCATAATGGGTTGTACATGGAGGACTTGTGAAGACATCAGACTTATCATGGGTCAGTCTGCAAGAGATAGACACCAGGCTCCGAATTCTTGAATTTATTTTGGGTGCTGGTGAAGTCTGGGAAAACAATGCTTCCGCCCAGCTATGCACCTGCTGCACTCCGATGCAGATCCCTACAACCCAACAGTTGCAGTCCTGGTTTCAGATCATGCAGACATAGTAATATACAGTATGAGCATTTCCGAGAATACAGGAATACAGCCCATCGATGTTTTGCTCAGATGACCAAGGCTGACAGCCTTAGTTGAAGCACATTTGCTTCGTTGCGGGTTACCCATGTAGGAGCTTGGGAGGGCACACCTAGGAGCCTAAGAGGACACTGTATGTGCTGCCAAGCCGCATCAGCACTGCATACCTGGTATCCCGGTGTATTTTCGCCTCATCTTCCAGGCGACCTGGCTTTGTGCGGTGTTTGTAAGAACTTAGGACTGAGGTTTCAAGACTTTGAACCCGCCTTGGTGACCTTCCGAGGTCGTTCCCCTTCGTTCCGATTCCTTCCCCCGCGGCCGCTGCTCATGGGGCCCCACGAAATGGGGCTCTTTCAGGGGATGCCCAATAGGATTCGCAGAGTCCTCAGAGGCACGATTTTACGATCTCCTAGGCGCCAACAGTATGCCCCAAAAGCACAGAGCTACGGAAAGACTGGGGGCTGTGTGCCAGGCACCACTTTCACTTCGACTGCGTGAGCAAGTGGCTGGCCGAGTGCCGCTCCGCTTGCCCGCTCTGCGGCGAAGACATCGGCACGCCGACGGTCGCCAAGAGCAGCGCGGAGTCCGGCAGATCGGGCGAACTTTTGTCGGAAAGGTCAAGCGCTTCAACGGATCGAGTTTAAGAGTCACGACCACCGCTGCGTTTGGCAGGACTGCTGCTGCTCTGCCCCCTTAGGTCCTTAGCAGGGAGGGAGTTTGGATTTTAGCTGGCTCCTGAGTTTTGTTGAAGATTCCGGTAAATGAAAAAGGCGGTGCACCCTGGCCTTTGGCGACGATGATCCACACCTTTGGGAATGTTCGGTCGTTTCTGCAGCGCTGCAGATCAGAATTCGTTCATCTTGAAGGACTTTCGATTTATGGATGCTGTGGGCTGCAAAGTTCCAACTTGAGCATGGCATCCACTCTTAAGAAGATGTAAGTCTCCTACCCCCAACTGCGCAGCCATGTGTTCAGGTTTGAGGTGAAATCTCAGACGAGCCTTTCTCGGTGCTTTGTGCTTGTATTGTTGTGGGCAACAGCTCATGCCATTAGAGACTTGGTGGGAATTAATCTTCGCTGTGTGCTAATGGTAGAGAGCAGATCTTCACGGTGTAGGATGACTTGTGCATCAATGCAGCTGCTGTTCTGCACCAACTTGAGGTTTTTCGGTCGAGCAGCTCGTTGTGCTTCATTCCGGGGATCATATGACTGCAAGCGTCGGGTCAGATGAGAGGATTAATCATTCATCCATCGGCACATGGCCGCCAACAGCAGATGGGTATGGGTGATTGTGGTTTTGACGGAACCGACATCACTGCCTCTAAGCATTTGCAACAAGCGCTCAGAACGCAGTACTTCCTGCGCTAAGCTTCTATGAGATAGAGATGGACTAGACCCCTGAGCTGGACGGCGGCAGGCCCACCACTTGATGATGTGCTCCCTTCATATTTGGGGTGACCCCAAACACACTGAAACAAGAATTCGGTATCCTGGCCAGCGATGTGAAGTCTCTAGCGTCTTGGCAAAAGATCTGCAGTTGGTCAGTGAGTTATGCGTGTGAGGGAGAGCGATTTTTCAGGTGAGGGAAGAGGCCCTAGACCAAAGAGGCCGTAGGCCGAAGAGATTGAAGACTTGCGGTTCAGTCGCTGATTCATGTTGGTCCCTGCGGAGGTTTCGAGCATGACCTCTAGCTGTTTAAGGTGGCATGGATGAAATCGAATCCACCCGACGAAGCTTCAGTTTGCTTGTCTCGTTGGGAGCCTTAGCCATACCGCAGCTATGGGATGCGTGTCCGGATCTAGGTACAATGCAGTTGCATTAAAGTTTGAGCATAGTGCTTCGTTCGTCTCGGAGGCGACCGTATCCGAGGTGCAGAGTGACCGTTTAGCACCCTGGTACCGTGCCACCGCTGGTATCTAGAAGACCGTAGAAATTTGGCAGGTGCTGCGTGCTGTGCCGAAGACGGTGATGCAGTCGGCTAGTGCGTCAATTGTGCAACATCTCGATGTGCCGTCAAACACGGTGAAGAGGGCCCTTGCTTGGCACTCGGCAGGAATCATCGCGCCACGCTGGCATACCTTTTTCGCTGTACAGAGGAGTGTGTCCAAACTTGCCGGGTTGACTTGGAACTTCACGACAGTAGGGGCGCACGTTCATGTTCTTGTGCTGCGTCTGCAACTTGCGAAGCCATAACTGCACAGCATGAAGGAGTCTCGCAACGAAAATCTTGCGGTGGCTTCACCATTTTGGCCGCTTTGCTGCAGTTTTCAGTGACAGCGAGAACAGCATGCGTAGAGGGGACAGTCGCCGAGCGACGTAACGTAGCGTTTCGAACAAAACTGGAGCCACAGCTCACAGCAGATCCCAAGCTTTGCCTTTGCGTGTATGATCTCTTTCAGCAAATGCCTCGCAGCAAGAGAGGAGAGAAAGTGAAGAGGACACAAAGAGACAGGCGCGTTCGCGTGTGGGGGGTCAGGGGGTCCGCAAGTCAACCAAATGAATAACATGCGAAATCACAGTCAGACCAACGGCTCGAAGTACTGGATGGCCGCCCCCGTTTGGTTGTGCAACTCCGATAGAGCCTTTGGCGACTACCGCACGCCCACATCTCACGTTGTGTTTCTTGTTTCAACACGTCACGTCTCCTTTGAAGCAACGGGGCTTTTTGCCAGCTTCGAAAGCATGCTTTTACAGTGTAGGCTTCACGCGTGATGCAGGTTATTGCCTTGCGGCCTGAGACCCATATCATGAGAAGAGCCCAGAGACATGTCATCACGCAAGGTTTGTGGCAATCTCGTCGCCATGTCCCTTCTTCCTTGATTGCTTTGCATGTTTGGCCGGCACCTCGTGGTGAGACAGGAGGTGGATGCGCAGTCAGAGCTTTCCCCCAGACTGTGCACAGACTCCGGATTCTGCAGTGGCTGGCGTCAGCCTGTCTTCTCATTTTGTATGAGGTTCCTCACGAGATGATGCTTGCCTGGTTGTGGGCGCTTCGGCTTCAGCTTGTCATCTTTGCTAGTTCTTTTCGCCAATGCTGTAGCTTGTTGTGCAGGCATATTGCGGCATACTCGTGGTTTGCACATGAGTAGTTCCAGAGAAGCTGAAGCTCTGAAGACTTGTCGAGCATCTCAGATATGCAAAAGGGTTTGTGCAAGACGCGAAGGTGAGCACCCTATGGCCGGCAGCGTGGTGACAAGTGAGGTGCCCTCTTCGTCGGCGCCACCTGCTCTCGATTTGCAAGCCAAGCGCTTTGCATCTTGCTCAAATCCTGGACGCCGGTTGCATTCAGACACCTCACTTCTTCATCCAGAGAGCAAGATGTGAAGTGTGTGAGCTTCTGCTGTACATAAGAGAGAGCCGACGGATGCTATTCGTGGCGAGGCCAACACTCTCAGACCCTTCCAGACGCAGCTGCACCCCAGCATGGCTTAGCACACCATGCACCTGCCTCGCATGTGCCGCTTAGCCGCTTCGCCTCGAAGCTTTGATTTTGTTGTCTTTGCATCAGCTCCCTCAGACGAAGGAGCCGGGGCGCTCCGCCCAACTGAGCTCGAGGTTGAGGCCTCTCTTTTGAGCGCCTCACTTTCAAAAAACATTCCGTCCCTGCGGGCCTCTAACTTTTCAACTCCAGCCGGGCGACATTGACATTTCTGCCTTTCTCAAAGCCACGAGAGACGGGAGGAGGAAGAGGTCAACAGAGCATGCGCCGGCGAGGCGCCGACCTACCAAACGCATGAGCCGCATCTGTTCTGTACTTAGAGAACAAAACTATCGTTGCCGCAAAGGTCGACGGCTAGCATCAAAGCTCTCTTGTTCAAAAGACCTCTGATCCTCAAGGCAAGGCAGCTGTGCGAAACACACTTGGTGGCAGCTTCCCAGAGGTTAAGTGCCGTTTCTATGCATCAGTCGGGCCATGTATGCCATGTCAATTGTGTGCGGGCGTGTGCCCCAGTCTGTAGCATGGCAATGCATCGTAGTGTGTTCCGCACCACAAGAGCAGAGCATGGATGCATGATGTTGCAGGATGCAAGAACGAGGCGTATCACAGTCTCTACACTGCGCGTTTCTATCATCTAATTGCAAAGCACATGAGCACATGTGCCTCTGTGCTGGGCCAGAGGTGGGCATTTCTTGTGGGCGAGAAGCCCCGAACCATAGGAACCGTCCCAGCAGAAAAATACGTTAAGATGGGAGCATCTGGGACGGTTCCTGCAACCGTCGTGCTGGCGGCTCTGCGGCTCCGGAGGCAAGGAGGGGAAACCGGACCAGGGATGGAGCATGAGAAGGGCCAGTCTCTGTAGAGATTTCAGCAAAATACACAAAGCGAATCTGTGGAAGTGCGTATGTTTGCAAGGATGTTGTTGCATACCTTGTTTTAGCAGTCCTGTACATGGGGCTTCTCCTAGATCCTACCTCCTTCAACTTCCTCTACCGTGCCTCCGTCTCTCGCTGGCTCTTGCTTGGTTGGCTCTCTCTCTCGCCCTTGCTCTCTCTCCCTCCCTCGTTCTACCTCTCCCACTCCCTCCCCCTCCTCCTCCATGCCTCGGTCTGGGACGTGTTGGGATGCTGCTTCGTGGCAGGCGCTCGTGCAGGAGCAGCGTCGGAATCACTGAGCGGCGCGTGCTTGTGCAGGAAGGCGCGCGACTGGACTAAGCCCGGTCACATTGCATAGTCGAGCCTAAAGCGCGATCAAGAAGCCACCGAGTTGAACGTTTCTTCCCTTCGCATAAGCTGAGAAGACGGGCTTACTTCATCGAGGAACATGGTGGAGCTGTGCTTCCTTCGCCTCAAGATGCAACGGATACTCCTCACCCTCTCTATTACCCTATCCAGAAGGAAGCTAAGGAAGCACAGCTCCTGAGCAGCAGATCTTCGCTCGACGAGAGAGGCCTCGCCTGTGCTCAGCAGAAGTCGCACGGGAAAGGTTTTTGCAAGATGCGCGTTGGGTCCTTGGGTCCTCTTGAAGGGGTCTCAGGTGGTCTCAGGGTTTAGGGCTTAGGGGGAAGGATTTTTAACATGACCGAAAGTTTCCTGTCTGAGAACCTGAACCTAAACTTGGCCACTGTGACAACATCTGGTCCGCTACCGCCTGCCGCAGCCGCTTCATGCATGGTCAGACGGGCAATTCGAACTCTGTGTCTACCTGCTTCAGAACTCTACAGAATGATCGGATTACCATGGCTCTTCAGTCAGTGCTCCAATACCATTTGCCAGCAGGGCTGTTGACCATATGTGGTACGTCTCCACCTGCCTCTGAAATCAATAGGAAACATCGCAGTGTCTCTCCAGGGACTCCTGTGCTACAGAATCCAGATGCTCGCATGGCATCGACTTCGGCCGATCGCGAGGCAGTTTGCACTGTCGTAGTGAAGGAGTCTGTGATCAACTGTAGCCTCTTGACTCTTGTGCGCCCATCTGCAGGCCATCCTTCAAGGGGGCCTATGCGAAAGGTTTGCATTGGCCCTGGTACAATTACTACAACCGCTGGCACGCTGATTCTACCTCCATGCCAAGTGGTGCACAGCACAGAGTCAGAAAGTCTCCCGAAGCATTGAACTTACATCAGGGACCTTGCAGTCACCCAGGCCGTGCCGGAGAATCCGCAGTTTATCTACCGCGGTCTCGCATCCACCATCCTTTTGGGAGCTCGAGCCTTTGGCATTGTGTGTGCTCCTTGCCACCACCCCCAGAGTTGGAAGCAGCTGACTGAAGGTTGAGAAAAAGACCAACTTGCGAGTCGCGATCAAGGTGAAACTTCATTCTTGAGAGATCGGTAAAGAAGCATCCCGGCACAGGCGCTTTTGAAAAGCAGGTTCGAGAACGAGAAGGAGTTGAAGCAGTCCCTGCGTGAGGCACTTTGCTCTTTTCATCTGTGGCGTGTGCTTCGTGTGAGCTCGTCTCCCTTGTGAGATAGAGCTTCACGCATCGGTCCCACGTCACAAGAATGTCCTGGAGCTCTTGTACTCGGAGGACGAGATTCAGATGGATGGAAGCGGTCTTGCATCGTCACTTCGGAAGGAGCAGGCTTTCGCCATCACCTTGGTCTTCCCGTACACACCAGGCCGGCGAAACGTGCCCTTTAATCTTCGGCATCTCCTTCTGCTTCAACTGCCATGCCTCAGATGGTGATTTGTGGGAGCTCATGCGGTGCCCACAGCTCTTGGAGAGAACGGGGCCATTCCCGCAGCATGGCTGGCGTCAGGTACGGACAGACCTACTGCGAGAAGGAAGTTAGGAATTGCACCGAACAGCTATTGTGGCGTGGCTGCACAGCTTACGATAACTTGCAGTGCGTCTATGCGCGCAAAAGTGGCTGCTGAGGAGTGCCCTGCACCATGTGCACACAGCCAGCAGCGGGCCCAGATCGAGCCGCCCGGGTTGTGGGCCTCGGGTCTTGATATTCATGGTTCATGACCTGCCAAGATATCTTGCACGGTGACATCAAGCCGCACAACTTCCTACTCTTCAGTTACTCGGCTTCAAACCACCTGTGATTGCCATCGCACGCTTTCCTGGTCGCAAGGAGTAGATGGTCGTTTCGCCGTTCAGCTCTGTGATTTCGGCTTTGCAGAGCATCCAGATCAGCCTGGAGGTTTGCCAAAGCGGTCAAGAGAAGTGTCGACTCGCTGCATTGGGCTTGGAGGAGTTTTCACCCATCGGGAGTTGAAAGGGACGCACGGCTGGAACGAAGCTCAGCTCTTGCAGCATTTCGTCCCAGCCCAAAACCTCCTTAGCTGAGGTTCGCTCCAGAGATGCTGGCAGAGCAGAGCCTGCAACCCGGATATCTTGCAAACAGCGCCGGCTCTGAGTTCCACGTGTAGCGCCGAGGCCACAGCTTCAGTTTGGACCTTTTTGGGATCGGCCTCATCCTTTGGAGGCGCCCGGCAACTGTTTGCAAACAGCTGATAACACAAGTCCCTCCCAAGTGGCAAAAGGCTCCTCGCTGGGTATGCGCCGTTTGATCCGCCCTCCTGCTTCGTCCCTCTCGAGTTTGACGAGAGGCGCAGGGGATCTCTTGCCTGCCATTGCGCTAAGATCTTGTCTTGCAGGTACTGGTGCCACGTCAGTGCTCCATGCAGAGAATTGGTGGCGCAATTGCTCTCCCTCACACCGGGGAATCGGGGTACAGCAGCGCTCCAAGAGGGTCCGAGTAGCCCATGGGCTGTGGAAACAGTGCCTTCATGTGCAGCGTTGCATTGGAGGCGGCTCAGAGCCTGCAGCACCTTTGGATCAGTCCTGAGAAGTGAGTCGGAGTGAGTGATGCACGGCACAGGGAAGGGCTTCCCCAGATTGAAAGGCGGCTTTCGTGGCTGAGGCTGGCGGGAGGTGAGCCTCCGGAGGCGAAGGGATGCGAGTATCTGTGAAGCTGTCGAATCCCGCGACCGCCAGCCTTCCGCGGAAGTGATGCAAGAGCTTGCCAAGTACGGCGCCCCACCACAAACCAGTGTCGGCAGCCTCGAGAAGCGAAGCCCGCACTCTCAATCTTTCTCACGTGCTTCCTTCAGGTCCACTTTTGGCCCGTGGGTCTGATTCCATCCAAGGAGTGGCAGAAAAGCCGTGGCCCCATCTCGTGATGGTTCGTGAACATGTGTTTCCGCACTGCTTGTCTAGTGCAGGTTATGCCAACCTGGTCGATGCCTGTGGTGAGGCCTCGGAGGACGAGCTGTCTCCAACCTCAGCTTAGTGGGAGGTCTCCCGAGTTCCCCTGCTCTCAGATTCTCGCACAGGCTGCAGATATCACTTGCAAAAGTGCTGCTCAGATCATGTTGCCAGCCTCCTCGCCCTTAAATCTGCAGATCTGTGACCGCATGTTTCCTTTTCAATAGCGACACCTACTTCCGAAGCAAGCTCGTCACGAGCTGTGCTGGTGTATATCTGGACCGTAACCATATGGAGTGCAGCGAAAAAGGGATGTCATAGCGTGGTTAACATGTACACGCAAAATACCCCTAGCTTCGAAACTGCCGACGTTAACTTCTTCAGTTGTCCGTTGTCGAGGTTTTGACTGTTTTTGGCTTTTGGTGTCTTGGCTTTCAGCTGCCGGTGCTTGGCGCTGGCTTCATTCTTGGCTTCCGGGCCGTGGTTTCCTGATCTCCTAAACCCTAAGCCCTAAACCCTTAGGTTTTTGTTTTGGCTTTCGCCTTCTTGGCCCTGGCATCTTGACGCACCTATGCAGCAGTCGGTACTGCAGTAGCGAGGCAATTGCAGTATCGCAAGACGGTTCATGTGCTGTGGGCATCTGTGTCGGGCCATAGCTCAGAACGTCTCTTGGTTGTCTCAGTTGGAGATCTTTACGTTTGTCTGGAATGGCTCTGTAACTTAATTATTGCGTCTACTGTGCCTGTTCTTGATTGTCACCGCTACTACCGTGTTTATCACGAGTACTCTTGCTGTCAGCACTAACCTACTATCTGCGTGCCTCTCACTCTTCTTGTTACATAATTGCTACGAGCTCTTTGGTGCTTCATGTGCCTTGATGGACTGAGAATGCATGCCGTTGTTGAGCCCAAGCCCAAGTCATCATCATCTTCATCATCACGGTCCCGGTCACCGTGACCCTCACCTTGCTAGCTGGCCCAGTCCTGGCAATCTTGGCAGTCAGAACACAAGTTAATGGGGTGCAATCTGGAAAGCAAAGCTGATCTCCAAGTATCCTATCCTATGATCAAGCTGACTCAACCTGGTTTGACGCCCCGCCAATGATTGACAACGTTAGCAACAGCTGATCACAGAATCGTGTCTGAATTGCATTGTCAACATAACTCTTGTTCTGCCATGCATGGGCTGCTGCTTTAAGTGCCATGGTGATCATTCACGCAACTCTCTCTGCCCAACATTGCCCAAAAAGAGCTAGGCAGTGAGCGGCTTGTCCACCAGTTGGGCAGGAGGAAGTTCGAAGAGAGTTGCTGGCTGTGCGACTATCCTTTGTCAGAATGGTTTTCCCCTAGTTTCGCCGTAGGGGGGCATTGGACATGATCAAGACTTGCCGACGTGCACACAAAGTCGACGTTGGCTGTCACAGCTAGCCAAGGGGCTCAAAAGTGAGAGTCCCCAGAGCCGTAGACCTATGTACATATCCAGCCATCAAGCACGAAGCTGACGTGTGGGCTGCTGTCCAGGACAGCATCCGTGCAACCCATCCAACGGTAAATAACATGTGGATTTTTTGGTGAAGTTCCGATCTCCTTGCCCAGGATCCACACAGATGTCAACTAATCTGCCAGAGGCTCCAAATGAGTTGCATGTCCGTTGAAGCTTGCCGCCTGGGAGCGCAGATCTCTGGCTCCAGATCTCCAGACGTCGCGGACGTAGCTTCGTGATCTGCTGTTGGTATGCTGGGTTTACCACGTGCATTCTGCAGCCGAGGGACGAAGCCTGAAGAAGAGTTCTGTGAACTCCAAGTTCCTGCCCACTTCACAGGTGCGCAACTGGAGGGGAATCCGGACGTCTGAGATCAGGGGCGTATTATCACTCCATGCGTACAGAGGCCCGCTTCGGTTACCTTGGTCATTTGTGCCTTCAGAACTCCAAGGACTTGGAGGGTCGCTTGAGGGCGAGATGTGAAGGTTCTCACTCTCGCAAGCTGGCAGGACGACCCAACAGAAGCTTTGCGCAACATTACTGCGCTGGATGCCCCGAGCTTTCTACCCAATGCGGCAGCCTGAGGCGACAGCGTGATAATGACGGCTGGGCCTAGCCGCAGAACAGGTCATGACGCTGCAGCGTGCGTCGACGCCGTGGCAGTACAACACTCCATGTCGGACCTTGGAGGCACATCCCTGCACATGGCAAAACCCCATGCCTCGCTCTGCTGATGCTCCAAGCAGGCAGCTTGTGCAGATGACTCGGCACAAGGCCAGATGCTCATCTTTGTCAACGACTCTCATCAAGACCGCTGGACATGTCACAGCAGAGCTTTGCAATAAGGTGACGGCTCACTTAGACATGTGAACTCAGATTCCAGTGTCTGCTTCATCCAAGTCTTCATCCAACTCTCGAGGAATCGGTGTTCATCATATCGCATTCTGTCTTCAGCAATAAACTAGGATGAGGGAGGTGTGCTTGCCGGGTAAGTCATGCCCAAAAGAGTCCTTGCCCCATCAGCAAGGTTCGAAGAAGTGCGGGCCAACTGCTTGCATGTCTGCGTCTGCGTGTCTCCCTCGTATCTTTCAACAACATTCACTCCGTAGCAGTGGCTAAGATAAGAATCTGCGAACGCCGTCGAGCCACTCTACCAGTACAGCTCAGCACAGCGCGATGCCTGCCGTGCAAAACCGTGCACATAAGCGCGGAGATTTCACGGTCGGCCAGAGACGCGTGAGAAGGATTCCGCATTGGAAGGCTTCTGTCTGTCAGAGCATGCGAAGCATTGCGAAGCCCTCTAAGGCGAAGAAACCAGGTCCCTATCGCCTTCGCGAGGCGCTTCATTGCACGCTTCGACATCTGTATGCTTCAACTGCTGAACCAGTGGTGGGGGGTGAGACTCTGAGACCGCTTACTGGCATTCATCAGACTCATCAGCTTCTGAAGACAACGGAGCCTCTGAAGCAGAGCAAGGAGCAAACAAACAGTGGCGAATCTTGAGAGCACTTTTGCTTTTGCTCCGCATGGCGGGCGCCTCGCTCCGGAGCCGGGCGCACACCCGGGCCAACGAGCCCCGGAAACGCCCAGCCAGAGGCCAAGTCTCGGAAGGCCCGGAGCATGCGGAGCATGCCGGAGTCTCCGGAGCTTCCGAGGTCGGGAAGGTGGACAGGGTGGAAGGTGTCGCAGGGGCCCTGCACACCGACAGACTATTGCATCACATTGCATCCATTTGAGCAAACTCGTTTTTGTTTGCATAGGTCCTCCTCTCTGGTTTCCTCCTCCTGGCCTTGGCGACAATCGTGGTCACCACAGTCTTGGCCAAGGAGGCCGTGCGTGGGATGAAGCAGCAGAGCAACGTCAACAGGCAAGCATGGTCGCTGCATGACAGGGATCACTTCAGAAGATTCTGTCCTCACGTGGTCTGGGTCTGATGGACTTGCTGGTGACTGAGTTACTTGGAAAATCATGCATGGACTGCGCGAATCGCGCGACTGCGCTGCGAGTCAGAGCAGATTTTAGGCCGACTCTTCCTCGTGATGCCAGTCTGGCCGGGTGCTTTCTGTCGGAAGGACTCTGTCTTGACATGCGTTCGTCGTGCAGTTTGCAATGCCATCTGGCCAAGGTGAGCTTCAACACCTCACAGTGATTGAAAGGGCTCCCGCTCATAAGATGCTCGCAACATGTTAATGATCTCCGGATACAGCTGGTGGCAAGACGCCGGCCGGCGTATCTGTATAGCAGACGGTGTTACAAGTGTCACAACCTGCAGTGACCTGTCCCGGCCGTTATTCTCACAAGGTGCGTCGTGAGAGCAGTGCTCGGAAAACATGCCGGAAGAGCCCAGAGCTTTCCCGCACATCGTCCACGGAATGCTGCCACGAGCAGGTGGAGGCAGCCAAATGCTGAACTCCGCCAGCAAGAAGGCTTGATCTGTCGTGCCCTGCTAAGAAGCATGATGAATTACAGCAGGCAATCTCAACGCAAGCCCCAATGCCTGCGAACTACGTGGCGGCCCAAGATTCTTGGCTTTTTCGCACAGCGCTATTTTGCAGTGGCTGCTGGTGATGACTTACTGCAAGGGTTTTTAATTAGAGTTTCCGCCACATGTATCCTAACTGCATCTTGGCATGAGCAGTCCGGCCGGGCGGCTGGGTGCGGGTGTTGCGGATCGCTTCTCCGCGACTTTGCCGTTTGTTCGCGATGTTCCGGATTCCGGTGCTGCATTGATTGGGTCCAAGGTTCGGAGGATTCGTCGAAAAGCACAAATGTCCAGAAGTGCCAACGACCACAGGCACGGCACAATTGTCATTCTTACGGCAATTTACTGCCGCTGCAGGGAAAGGAAGTAGCAATCGAATGCAACGGACACCGTCAAGCCTCACACATGATTCAGTTCAGATGGTCACGCAGACTGCAGGGCTCCAAATTGGGTAACTGATTTGCATGAATCGGTGCCAATTATGGTTGCCGGCCCCGGCTTGAAAGTTTCAGAAGCGTGTGTTGCTGCTGGCTTGCATGCTTACCGACCCGGCAGGTTGTCCACGGCCGTCCCGGGAGTTCGACACTATACAAGTAGCCCACAGGTATGAGTCCCTTTTAGCCGCGTCTGAACTTTCTTGCAAACGGGGTCCACCGAGAACGCCCCACATCGAACCGCCTTCCTTCTTTTCCTCAAGCTCTCAAATCCTGTAGCGGGATTCTAGAACCTATAGATGTGCACAGCACGCAGGCAGCAGATAGCCGACTTAAAGATGTTGGCTGATTCTGCCCCTTGGACTGACCGTGGCATGTGCCAAGCGGGCCTAGTCTTTGTGGGAGTTTCCGAAATTAGGGTACATTATTTGGGGTCCTTATAATAAGGATCCTACTATTTAGGGTACTATATTAGGGTCCCCTATTTTCGGAAACCCCCATGTGTGCCTTCCATGGATGCCGAGGCCAGCCGATCTGGAAATGTCTACCAGGCTTTACAGGCGCGCGAGGGCGCGTGAGAGTCAGGAGGGCAAAGGCGCTAGGATGCAGACCGAGAGGCCTATCACAAGATGGGTGTTGTCTTTGACAACCAGGCCATGTATCCGGAGGCGACCGAGAGACTCCCAGGTTCTTCTTTTACGCTTGAATTCGCTTGATATCGTCAGGCCGTCCAGAAGTACAAGCAGTTCTTGGCTTTGTGTATAACCTCCAAGAACACGCAGGGTGAGGCAATGCATCCGTCGACACATGACATGGCCTTCCCGTTTCTGTTTTCCATGCAACTGTCTTTTGCTGCGTCCTAATTACCAGGGAAGTTAGGTCCGTGTATGACCCCAGAACAGCCATTCAAAAGAGGATTCATCGGCATAGAATCCACAATTACTGGTTTTTGTTCTATGAAGAGCGTATCATGGATTTTAGATCTATTCTGGGCAAGAAGCCAACCTCACTCACATGTTTTGCTGTCCGCCTTGTTTGACGAATTGACAGCCTTCCGTTCCACTCGTTCCCCTCAGCACTTCCTTGTTTAGACCCTGGCATGTACAAGCGCTACTGCGCTTGGGCAAGCGTGATGCATGCCATTGTATGCCGAAGGTTATCGATAATTCTCATGGCTTGTGTGATCAACAGTGGGCCTGACCAACTAGGGCTGCGTGTGGGAGGCACTGGCATACAACTGTTTGGGCATTGACTGCTTCAAAATGGGCCGGGGCCACAGTTGGCCCCTGCAACTGGAGTCCGTCCTTGGCTTGCAGACGCATGTCTTGAGGAGGGGCGTTGTGTGACTTCGATTCTGCACAGGTTGCTCGAGCAGGGCTTACCAACACTTGCATACGCGATGATTCACATCTGCAGCAGTTCACCGTCTCGTCCTAGTTTACGAGCAGGTGCAACAAGAACACAATCAATTTCCCAAACTTACGTACATTGCCCGAGCGTGCGCACTCATCCGTGCACGATTAGTCAGCCATGGCTTACCGTGTGAATGGACTTCCACCATTCCAGGTATCATTTAGCATCACTTTTCCTGAGGGATACGTGGGCAAGAACAAGCTGGACACCAGCTTCCAGGCTGATGGCTTCGAGCGTTCTGTAGGTTGCTCGATCTGACACAGCTGTCTTGGTGCACTGTGGACACTCCTTTGGGATACCAGCCACAAAACATCACACCACCATAACAGTTGTTCGACACAATTTTGCACATGTAGCGACACGACACTAGGCTTCCACTGGCACACGAGGGCCATAACAGGTAGACATGACGAATGAAGTTTACGCAGTCGACATGCAAGTAGAAGTTCAGTTTTGAAGTACTGCATCCATTGCAAGCCACGCTAGAATTCCTCCAGCGTTTTAGATCCGCGCAGTCGAATTTCCGAAAAGACAAGATCTAGCTGCGAAGCTCAAAAACTCACCTTGTAGCTATATGCGAACAAAAATGTCGCTATCACATGGCTCTCTTAGAGAGTAGAGTAGGGAGTGTTGCCAGGGATGCTTTCGTCAGTGCCTCTGATATGTAGAAATCTTGCCCGTAAAGCGTTTGCTTGCATCTGGGCTCCAAGAAATGAGACTGTATTGGAGTTTTGGCACAACTTAGTTTGGTCAAGCCCCGTAACATGTGCAGGGCAACATGTCCTATAGGCCTCGTCTCATTGTGTCGCAGGTGGACGCGGAAGGGGCAAAGGCACAAGTCGGTGTGCTGAACCACCTGGCCTTGACATGTGAAAAGTTCGAAACGGCCCACAGCCATCCAGTAACAGAAGAGGAGTGCATGCCCTTGCATTCCAAGCTTGAAGCTTTGCGGGTCATAGCATCTACAGGAAGGCCAAGTGATGAGAAGCCCTTTTCCAAGCAGTCTCGTGATCTCGATGAAACTACGGATTGTTCCGACCTAGAAGACCTCGTGACTGCCACATCCTCCATTAAGACGACATCCAGCACTCGGTCAGGGAGCGACGTGTCAGAGTTTCAGGTGGGTCCAGAGGACGAAGCTCTGCCAGAGGTGCCGATTTGCGCCGGGGAGGTCCTTGCAACTCCTGCTCACCGTGCCGCCGATGACTATGCCTTAACACGGGAGCAGCCGATTATCATTAGGTCCATCGCGGAGCTGGACGAAGCAGCGATTTGGTCGTGAGTTGTAGAGACCCTCAGAGCGCTGAGCGCCTTGAGATATTCTTCTTTTCCTCCTCAATCTGCCTGTTTGGGTGGAAGGTGAAGGCTGCTCGAAATGGGCTGCAGTATCCCAAAATATCCCAAAGCTTTTGATACTGGTGAGTGGTTCCAGCATCCAATCATCAGCTCTCGAGTTTCGTGGCTAGTGCTGGCGACAGCTTCGCCGCTTGAACTCCACATGTCGGAAGGCATGATTTCTCGAGTCCTGGAGGCACGCCTATCACTGCAAAAGCCATGCATCCGTGGCTGTAGGTCGATGCGAGTTGACACAATAAAATTGCAGGACAGAAGCACAGGTAGAGACAACGAGCAGAAGGTACACAGAGCGAACGATGTCGCTGTGCCAGCGTAGAATTCGGCGACGGTGCATTTTCTCGCAGCAAGACACACTGCTGCCATCGAATGTAATCTGATGAATTTTCTGAGATCATGCAACGAATCAGGTTTCAGAGTTGTTGCAACGACGCTTCTTTCAAGGCACCTCTCCCGGCTCCGGGTGTTGCAAGTGAGGAGTAGATGAGTAGACTGAGTAGGACATCTGAGTTTCTTGGGGTCCCCAAGTCTTCAAGTGGCTCAGAGAAGCCGGGATCGGTGCAACGCACTGCATAGCAGTCCAAGAGCCGGTGTGAACAAGACTCCGGCCGTGGAACACGAAGCTTCCATCAAAGGGGATTTCGCTTTCGCCTCAGGCGCCTTCCATACACCGCCTTAGTCACCGTTCTCCCGTCTTCAAGCACTTCCTCAGCTCCCGGCGCCGTTTGCAGAACTCCCCTCCCATATCCCCCATTCCCGGTTCCAACTGCCAGAGCTGCTGGCCCAAAGCTGCTAACCTTTGGGCCAGCACTCTGGACGGGGCTTTGCAGAGTCAAGCCTCGCTGTGCCTCTGAAGGCGGAACAGGCCGACCACGGACACTGTTTCCCTTCCCAAAGGCACTTGGCACAGGATCCTGTGCAGGCTCCTTTCTTGTTCCTTTTGATTTTGCTGGATTTGACGGTTGGCTTAGCGCCGGCTATGCCCCAGACATACTGGTGGAGCTGGTAGACCGTATAGGCCGGCAAGCGCTGCAAGGCAGCTGCTTGCGGGTTCTGGTGTGCAGAGCTGCTGTGTCTTTGGCCGACGGTCGTTTGCAGTACGTGAGCCGTGTCATCTGGCCGCATGATACCTAGCATCACCAATGGATCAGTACTATGCGCCAGACAACTGTGCTTGCATCAAGGGAGAGTCTCAGCACAGCGATTCTATAACGTGGAGAAAGAGAGGAATGGTAGGACACAGACTTGTGGTTTGATTGGCACAACTACGCATTGTATGCATGCCAGATTATCAGAAGTGCCTTTCAACTGAAGTTCCCGATCTACCCGAGGGCAGTATGACGAAGCGATCCAGTACCACAACAAGCACTTGGAGCTAGCAGTTCTGCTCTCAGTGGACTTTGCTGCTCCGCATGGTGCGTGAGCATGTCGTGCGCCAAGGATGGCACAGGCCGGCTCATCGCGCATACAAACCTCGGCATTGTTTTCCAGGCCGCGAGACAGGCTGAGTCTTCGGCAGCAGCGATGTTGTCAGAGCCTTTTCTCGAAGGCCATGGGGCTGTCTGAGCATGCTGCCATCCATCATCAGCATGCGATCGAGTATGCCAACCGCATGGGCTCCAAGGCTCCCGAGCCCAGACACAAAGCAAGCCGCCTAAGCTCTGTGACATTCGTCTTCAGGATGCACAGTGCTTCACCGCCCCGGCCTCTGAGAATCGGCGAGCGGGCCAGGAGAATCCCTGGGTCGCTACGGCGTGTTCCAAGGTGGGCAACCTGGGCATCGCATCTGCAGCTCAAGGCGACTTGCAGACCAGCCGGATCTGCCTGCAGTGAGCCCACAAATTGCAAGGGGATGTGCTTGCGATTTGCTGCCGACTTGCCTTTGCAGTTTTCATGTTTGCACGTGTTTGAGTGTGTGTGTGTGTGGCGCTGCAGAGCCGTCGGCAAGGTACCATTTGAGCTCAGCGCAGCGACAGAAAGCAACCGCCGTGGACAACAAGTCCGCAACCATGCTAGAATCGTTCAAGTTTTATGTCCACAGCCCTCACTGTCACTCATCCTGAACCCTCACCCTCACCTTCCCAGGTTTGCACAGCATACCCTCAAAGAGGTGAGCAAGAGTGCATATCATCGGCTAGGGCAGGCCGATGGTGAGCAGCAGCCTGGCACGAACGGTTTAGGTGTGCGTAAATGACGTGGGCAGGTGAATGCAACTGACGGTCGTTTCGATGAAGCCGCAGACCACTTCGCAAAGGCGATGGAGGTCGCAATCTGCCCATTCGGCCTTGCGTCTCTGCTTGCTCTGCTGCTTGAGGATGAGATAGCGATATCCTTTCGGTTCCCCGCAGGCTCTGGCTCAATGAGAGCTCGAGAGCACGCTTGGGAAGTGATCCGTGATAAACGAAGTTTTAGAGTAACTGTAACAATCTACAGGCTCAGACAGGAGTCAGGTATAGTCAGGTGTTCTCTGCATTGCCGGTCTCGATTTGCCGATACGTTGCAACATGCAGGTGGCCATCGAAGATAGGCTTGGGAAGCCAGGGAGACCTTTGGGCAAGCCAAGCCGGCACGGCAAGCACAAGACCCGCAAAAGCAAGAGCCAACCTGCTGTGCTGGATCCTGACCTGGCGTTGTCACCGGTGAACGAGCCGCGCATGAGCAACACCAATGTTATCTCCATGGCAGACAATGGGACACAGTACAAGAACTACATCCATGTGACGGAAGAGGACTTGCGACGCTATGGGCATGATCTGGAGAAGCTGCGTGAGCGCCAGGTTGTGCCGTGGTCACAGCGGGAGAGGCGTGTTCGACAGCTGTCCTTTGGCGAGGCTTTTGAGGTCAACTGCCGGAAACCGGCAGAAGTGCTGGACCCGTGGAGAGACATCCCAGATCCGGAATCTTTTCGACCTCCAAATGAGGGTGATCTTTTCGTCAATCAGGTTGTGCCACAGTCACCCAGGAAGATAGAACGTGAAGAACCAGAGACTGAAGCAGATGAAGTCCAAGAGCTTCTTGAGATGAGCCAGCGGCGATCTTCCAGCAAGCATAGCATCTCCAAAGATGGCTACCGGCGCATGTCCAGCAACATCAGCGCAGGCAGCGCGTCTACTGTGGCATCTACAAATGTCAGCCGTGAGGTCAGTCGCGCCTCCTCGAAGGAATCTGCAGCAGCTGCCAGGTCGAACCTCCAGCGCCAGTCCTCGATACCGCTCCCACCCGTTGCTCGGAGCAGATCCTTGATGATGGCCGGTGCCTCACTCGCCGGGTAAATTCAGAAGGACGTAACAGTCCTCGATTCCTCTTTGCAGAACCGAGTTGACCCAAACGCTGGCAAGGCGGAGGGGATGCTCCGTTTCTGTTGTGGCAAGCACCCGTCTGCCACACTGCACGCCATCAGTAGGCCTTCTTTGAACTTTCTGTTTAAACCATCCTTGACATCTGATCTGGCAATAGCTCAGCACTGACCTTCATTGTCATTGCAGAGATTGACGAAAGCTCCTGTTCTTCACAGTGATGCAAACGCCCATTTGCCAGATGAGGCCCTGCCTGAATTTAGCTGATGTAGACCTGTGCCTCACTTTGCAAGAAAGCGCGTGGTGCCTGCCATGTCCGTGCCACCGACATTGCAATCCGTGGCGTAGAAGTAATTTGGCCACGACAAGAGAGATCTCTCGATGGCTCTGGCCAGTGTCTGCTTCTAGGGTCTAAAGCTTCCATGTTGAAGGGCAGTGCAGGGCAGTGCCGCACAGTGCCTGCACAACTTAGCAGGTTGCCAAGACCGGAGCAGACCAGAAGGATGAAGAGGTTTCCGTGGCCATGCTCGGAATTGCCACTATCTCAGCCGACCTCGAAAGAGGAAGATGAACTAACGGTTGAAGAAGATGTAGGCTGCAGACTATCAATAACTGGAAAAGGGGAGAAGTGCAGGCAACACGAGATACAGCTGTTCACGATCCAGCAAAGATGTCGTGATTATTCTACCGACCCAACTCCAGACAACTTTCCTTTCCAGCTTTCCAGGCTTTCTGTGCTTGGAAGATCTTGGAATACAGCCTTGATTCTTTGCAACAGACAGAGACACTACTGCCGACGACGGCCGCATCTCGCCGAAGACACAACACTTCAAGCATTCCAGGCCCGAGGCATGCTGAACTTCGATGAGCACTGCGCAGCACTGGACTTAGAGGCTGTAGGCTTGCACTTTGTTTCGGAAGTGATATTCCTGCTGAGGCCTTGGTGAAAAAAGCGGCCGAGGTCACTAGTACCGTTAGCTTGAAGCTTCGGTTTCCTTTTCTTGGAACAGCCTTCACAGGCTTCTCTAGATGGTGAGGAAGACGGCTTGCGATCCTGATCCTGGAGAAGGTCCCTAGCACTTCACTTTGCTTGTGCTCAGGCTTTGTGGCTCTGAATTCTTGCCCAGGAGACCTCAAGAGCCCTTTGCAAGGGTCCCCTTGCAAGGACTCGAGCTGCCGTCAGGTGCATGGTCTCACCACCAGTTTCACACTTATAGTTGTCGTCACCTTTTGAATCGTGTATGTCTTCAGTAAGCCGCCAGAGACCACGTATACAAGAGAGAGATTGTCACCATCGTTCTCATTCGTAAAGTGTTCGAGCTCATGAGTCTCACGCAAGCTGGTGGCAACAAAGGCGCGCCCCGTTCTGGATGTGTCGTCAAGATCAGACGCTGTGCAGCGAGTTAATGCTCAGGTTTGCAATGTTCCCTGATAGCATTAGCATTCATGGTGTCCAACTCGGGCTTGCGATATGCCGCTCTGCATGGCAACATGGCCACAGCTTCTGCCCAGGCGAAGCTGTAGAAACACTATACCGATGTCTGCCTGATTTCGTCTGTGTCGTTCTGTCTGCGTCGGCTCTCAGCAACTCAAATAGCGCTGCACTCCTTGTCGCAGCCCTGTCCGCAGTGGCGGCGGAGGTGGTGCCTACCTCTTCGCCCAATCTAAGAAGCTGCTACAAATCAGCTGGGGAAGCTCAGGTGGACGAAGGGGTGGACGGGGATGGCTGAGGCGTCGCCACAGAGTCCAAAGCACTTCGAAGCTTCGAGTTGTATTGCAAGCGCTCGTTGGGTCGCGGCAGGCATCCGACCAGTTTGTGATGAACAGCGAAGAGGGTGACCTCGATGCATGTGCAGAGGCAAAGTCTCCACCATCTTCTATGAGGCTGTGAACGTTTCATCTCGTAGAGGCCCTTGACCAGCAGCGCAGACAGTTTGAGGACGAGGCACTGGGGGATGAGATGTGATGAGAATATTTCTCAGTTTGTGTGTGTGTGCGCGCCTGTGTCAGTGCCTGTGTTTCCTTCGTTTCTGGGCAATTGGTGAATTGGAGAGATCCTGTCGATTAAGCTGCTGGGATCCAGTGGAGACATGTTGCCTGGCACAACCTGAGGGCAAATACGAGGATGCCGAGCAAGTTAAGCGCCACCCTCGGGCCTGCTGTGCTGGTGGTCGCACGCTTTGGAGTCTGCGCCAGGCAGCGATTAGAACTGCTGCAAGAGAAGGCGGATGCCAAGAGAAGGGAGGCATGCTCTCTGCTTGAATCTGAAAAGGATTCCAGTCCCTTGCGGTTGCAAGTTGACGGAGGCACTGCGACAGCGGCAGCTAGCACAGCGTCTCGGAGTAGAAGAGGCTGTCGGAGATCTTCGAGTCGCCACGAGACCACAGCGACCCAGACAGTTTCGTCAGAGTCCGACAGGCACACATGAAGGAATTGCAGGAGTTCAACCAACACTGGGATCAGAAGGTCCGGTGCGAGTTCGAAGTCCATATAGAGTAAACCACAAAAAGTATACATTACTCTTAAGGATTGAGGCTATTGGGTTTCCAGCTTTCGGGCTTCTACTGTAGCAGTACCTCCTGGGCTTATCTAAGCGCAGACTGATCAGAGCAATGCAGGCTCAAGTGGTGCAGATACCCCTAATGGGCTCAGGTTGCAGAGTTTGAAGCTCATGCAGCTAGCCTGCAGTCGCAGCTTCAAGACAGGCACGTTTCAAAAGCTTCGCTTGTTTGGCATTCAGAATGCAAGTGTGAGCAGAGGGTTTTGGTTGCATGTTGGTTAGATGTGTTGAACCACCCAGAGATTCCACAAGAGGGCACGTTTGTCTTGAACACGGCTCCATACAAGGAAACCGGCCGGACACACGCCTGAAGGGAACATAGCACGGCCTAAAACAAGCCTAAACTCCAAAACAAATGCAACAAATCAACCCAAGAGGGCCAACCCGTGTGAGAACAGTGTGGTTTCTGTGACAGGCATAATGTTGTTCGAGCTTCTATGCATTATGAGATGCCCTGAGCTGCAGAGGAATTCGATCGTTGCTTTCAAGCCGCTCATCAGGCATAACCAGGAGTTTGCGGAAGCTCGAAAGAAGGCACGGGTGTAATGGGCTGCAGTATGAGATATCGAGCAGGAATGCACCATGTGCAGCACACGTGACGCCAAGCCGTTGCAAGCTTGCTTCATGAAGATGTTGGTTTGTCCTGGTGTGGCACCGCAGTTCGAGATGGAGACGGAACCGCGAAACCCTCGCTTCAGCAAGGATTTACTCAACTTGAGAAAGATCCAGGAGCAAACAAGCGCAATAGTTTGATGGGGCTGATGTGCAGCCACAGAAGTTTGTGCAGGACACATTGGCCAAGATGAAGAAGTGCGGCCCTTTACTTGTCAAGAGTCAAGAGTCGCTCTTGCTGATTTTGTTTAAGATTCTCAGGTACTCAGAAGCATCGAAAACGAAGCAACAAGCAGATGTCGTTGAGGCATCTGCTTCTGAGACGTGCAGCACTCTCACATGATGGACGAATCGACAGAATCCCTAGCAAACTGCATCGGCATGTTGTCTTGGTCAGCAGATCTGTGCATGGCACAGAGGACATAGGTGTTTGCTTCCTTGGTGATCGAGTGATTACCCGTGTTTTTGCCAGATTTAATGGGAGCCTCTTCTACGAAGTCCTTGGTGTGTTACACCTGTAGGCGAAGGAAAGACAAGCTTGGAGCGCCAAACGCGAGACCAAAATCCGCGGGCTGGAGGACAACCGAACATACAGCGGAACTTTCAATTTGTTCGAAAGCTCCCTTGCCCATGCTCATCTGTTCTACAGGCCGTGCGCTGCTTTCTGCTGATGTTGAAGATGTGCATTCAGGAGCAGTTCTTGCACAAGCAATCCCTGGAAATGACCGGCCTGACGAAGCGCATCGTCTCTGGTCGGGAGGCCGGGTCGGTAATGGCGGGCGATCTATTTTTTTGATATCCTATACTATATTGTTATATACTACAATATACTTTTAACATACAAGATCTGCTCACCTTGGGCATGGCAAGTCCCTGCTAGGAACAGAAGCAGGCGAGAAAGCTGGAACTCCAGCGATTGCTACAGCGATACCACAACGCGCGATCCTTTTTGACGGTATGCTCTGCTGCAACCGCCTCTCTTGGATTTCCGACGATGATCTTGCCGGACGTTTCGTGTGATTTCTGGAGAAGTGCCCTCGTACGAAACTGTCTGCAGACAACACTGACGCCCTAAAGAAGTCCCACATGGGGAGCACAAGGGTGAAATTGCCAAATTGTTGGAAGATCCGAGGCTTCTTTCGCCAAGAAAGACATGAAGAGCTTTGTCATTGCTCGCTAACAGAACATTAGAGGCCAAGGCCCCGAGCAGAGCCATGGTCGCTGAGCTGGCGGCGCTGGCGCCGCCGAAGTCGCCCCTGTGCCAAGAGCTCGGACACGGCTTGCGGGTCTGAGTTTTTATTCTGGTTGCACTGTGGCGCATGCAATGGCCCACAGCTCAACCCGGTTTCTTGACCCCACACCTCCAAGCAACTCCACCAGAACACATAGAGAGCACGAGGAGGACAGCAGGACTGCAGCCATAAAGCAGCAAAGCGACCAGCGCATCTCTCGTGTCATGGAGCCATGGACTGCTCCGGGCTTTGGCAACCCACGGCCCCAGACCGGCACTGAGTGCGAGTGCATTGAGTACATGAGTAGAAGATCTCAGAAGCTTGGTTTCTATCGCTTTCAAACGCAACGCCTCGTCGCCAGGTCGCACAAGTTTCTACAAGAAACGCTCACGAAGCTGACCCAGGACCGAGCATCGGACCCTGAGATCTCCCTATCTTACGGTTCAGCGAAAGTTGTCGAACAAGAGCTGGCGCAGAGGCATCCAAGAAGCTTCCAGTTGCCGCCGCCCCGCAACCACCCTCTCCCTGCCACGGCTGCTGGTTGGTCTCTAGTGTCGGCTTCGGCCATCGTTCATGTCCCCATCAGTCGTGTTTACGGTACCCGCATTGGCAGTGTTTGCCTCAATGTTCTCGGCAGCAGATCTGCAGTTCTTAATTGATTCCAGGACTGCAAGCTGCCTTGGGGTTTAAACGAACACGCATGCTTCTGGGGGTAATGTCTGTGTGTGTTTGTGTGCGCGCGTGTGTGTGTGTGTGTGTCTGGACTGCACACCGGTGTGCGAAGTGACATGTGTAAAGAGGTTGTGCCGCAGCATTGCGGCGCAAGCTCACTCCGAGTGTTTCCCCTCCTCACCCGCCCTTTTTCCAACGAGGGGCTTTGAGGCCTAAGTCTGTGCGGGAACCGGAAACGTACAGCAGAGCTGGCTCCCACAAGTTCGGCGGCTCCGCTTTCGGCATTCGGATAGAGAGGGCGAAGGTGAAAAGATGAGCAGTCGCCTCGCATAGTGCGCCAACCCCACACAACATGTCTGCAACTATGCCCGTGTGTGTGTGTGTATACACTTTTGTTCTATACTATACAGTGCGCAGTGGAGTCGCAAAGGGGGCACGGCAGGAGGTTCCAGACCCTGCCTAACAAAGCTATGGAATTCCTTTAAGTATGGCTACCATAATCTGATAAGGTTGTCTCTTGGCCTGGAGCAACTGCATCGTCATGAAGGCATCAGGAAACTGTTGAGTGGGCCGAAGGCCCGGAGCCGGCGCTGGTGGCTTTTGCATCACACCTTTCTACCAGTAGCTTCTGTCTATGCGCATCCCTTCGAGCTGAGCTGAAAGACCTGTGCCATGCAGGACAGCATCCGTGCAGGAAGCCCAACCATGACAAAACCCGCTGGGGGCTGAGCTTCGAGTCTTCTAGGCGTAGGGCATAGCCTGCTTCGTGCCAGGACGCGATGGACTCCCGTGTCGCGAGAGCACCCACATCTGACATGGGCCCGTGGCTTAAACGCGACTGCCATCCTGGCAAGTGCGGACCCATCTGAGCGGCGTGCTTAGAGATTCGACTCGCTGCTGAGGTCTGGGGCCCCCGGACACTCGAAGATCTCCTCGAACATGGGCCGGCTCACGCCTTTCGCTGCGGGCTTAGCACAGTCTTTTGTCGAAAACAATGTGCCATGCATTTGAAAGCCGCCTTTCAGGCCACTGCAGGAATACTTCGGGGACCTGAGAGCCTTGGTCTTCTCCTGGTCGCTGTGGAAGCGCGGACAGGTTGCGAAACGCTGCGATTCTCTGAGGATCGGCCGTGCGCGAAGAGGTCGGCACCGCTTTGGACAGCGGTGTGGTTGCTCAGGTCCTGGAGGGCTGGAGCTCGCAGTTCGCTGCATGGCGGAAATCCGATGACCATGTGGTCAGGCAGCAGGGCCAGGGCTGTCACTTTACATGAAGTCTGAAGATGTCTGAAGATGTCTGAAGTCTTCTGTATACTATTGTTTCCTGGTAATTCATAGAAGCTGTGGTGCTTGTAGACAGGGCTCCCTAGGCAAATTGATGCGCGTGTCTCGTTTGAATGACCCCCGATGTAGCCCTCCAGGCAGCTGAAAGGTCACATCAGCGAGCTGGAAGATGCAAATCGCTCCTTAGTCAGCTTTCTCAATGAGTACATCACAACTTCGGAGTTCGCCGCTTGGCACAGGCTAGTTCTTTGTCACTCTTGCACTCCAGTTGCTGCATCAGCCTGCCTCGCAAGCTGCTGCTTGAGGCAAGATTCAGGGAGGCCATGAACAAGTACTCCAATCTGGTGGATGAGCTCTCCGACTCACATCAAGGTCATGAATCTGTTTTGCTCTCCGCGGTCGAGCATGTAGTGGAGAAGGCGGTGAAGGCGGCCACGAGCAACATCGCACAGCTGATAGAGGACCTTAGAAGTAGATGTGAAAGTTCACGGGGGGTCCAATCTCATAAGTACGGATTCCAACACAGCGTCGAACTGCTTGGCCATGCTTCGATATGCTTCGATAGTATCATATGCAGACAATTGAAGACATCTCTTCATCCGATTGTAAAGAGCATCACATCCGTCAGCAGGAGTGCAATAGATTGAGCCCAACGTTGACACATGATAGAAACCACCTGGGCTGCGGCAGAGCTTGAAACCTCAGCTTATTCGAAGTAACCCCTGTGTGTGCACAGAGCCTCACAGACCTTCTGCCGTAGACTGGTCGGGGTCAGATGCTTCAGGATCTGTCGGACATCAGCTGTCCGAGCTACACACAGAAACCATAGGCGAAACTCTTGTGTTTATGCTTCTGCTCGAGTGGAGAGCCACTGGGAGGCCACGATCAGGAACTCGACCCAGCCCGAAGTGTCCTAGGTTTCTTCCATCTTCTTCCCATCCTAGGCAGCGCGCATTTCTGAGGGGTTGCTCACGTCCACCCCCTTAAGACGCTGACTCTAGGCTTAGACCTGACAGACTTCCAGGAAGCCATGCTTCCGAGCCTTCAGAGGTTTCCCAGAGAGCTTGCTGAGCTAGCTTCACATGCTTTCTCCGATGTCCTGCCCTGCAACGCTAGTCTTGCCCGTACACTGGTAAGAAGGAGTCCTATCGAGCTTGGGTGCTCGGCCGTACTCCCCTAAGACGTTCAAACTCTCTCGACACAGCGAATGCTTTTAAACTGCGAGGAGAAGATGGCGCAGCAAGTCACAAGGTATGCCACAGAACAGCAGCGTCAGATTGACACGGTCCTGGAGAGCGTTCAAACCTATGCAAGCCAAGTCTCGCGGCAGCTCGAGAACCAAGATGTCGTTCTTCAAACGAAGCTGGGCTCCGTGATGCATGACATTGGCAGCGAAATGCAAGAGAGGATGCAAAAGTCCGCGGATGAGATCAACGTGTCGACACTCAAAGCACCAGGGCAAGCTTGGAAGTTTTTTCATGCGAGGTTGTCGAAAATGGTATCATATCTGTTTGTTCCGTAACAACCCATTTATGCACATGGCAATATGAGGCGGCACATGAAGGAGCTGATCGCATGAAGATGGTTACCATCGGCGAGCATGAGAAGCTGCGCTCCTACATGCAGAGACTCATAGCTGGAGATGAGGAAGAATTGGATGAGAACGATGAGGCTCGCAATGTAAAAGCTTGACACCCAGCCTGCATGTTGCAACATTCTCGCATTCTCCAGTCTGCAGATGGCTGTGTAGGTAGTCGTAGCCGTAGCAGACTTCTCTGAACTTCGTGGTGGCATGGCTTGTAAAAACTCGAGAGGTATTGCGGCTTCAGGAACTGGTTTCGAAGGGAAAGGCAGATGCGATCAAAGAAAACCTGCTTTGCGCAACTCTTTCTCCCGCCTACGTTTCCTGCCCATCCATTGGTGAGGACCTGGCCAGACCTGAGATCACGGTATTCTGGCTATGGTAGTTTCATGTGCAGGTGACAGGCGTCCGTTGGTCGATGGTGACCGCTTACACAATCAAGCAACGACCGCCTTTCCACACGGCATAGCAATTCAGCATGTAAAGTTCTCTCGCTCAACGCCTGGAAAGAGGGACTACCATGACTACATATGAAAGTTGCAATTCGATAATTTCACGAATCCTTATTGATTGAAGGCTTTGGCTGTAAAATCTGCCGCGGCAAAGCCTTTCCAAATTGTAAGCAGAACTGCACGGCAGGGACTGCGCCCCATGCTGTTGCACTTCCGGGAGCTCTTATTCCAGGGGGTCTCGACCAATGAGCAAGCGGAGAACTGGCGCAAGGTCTCAGAGCAGGCCGAGCATGACATGCAGGCGCGGAGCAGACGGTAAAACACAGTCAGAGTCGGAGATATTATATTATATTATATTATATTATATTATATTATATTATATGATATTATATGATATTATATTATATTATATTATATTATGTGGGAGGGTCGTGATGGGTTCAGAGCGATGGTGCCAGGCTGCCAAACAGGAGCTCGAGCTGTGCCAAAGTGAATCCGCCGAGCTGCAAAGAAAGCTGTCGGAAGCCGAGGCCCTTTGAGCAGATAAGGTTGCGAGCTACTGGGGGTCTCTCCGCGCCTTTTTATAGAAATTACACCCCTTTTGCCCCGTCCCCTCCCCTCCCCTCGTTTTTTTTTGTGCGGTTCCTTGCGGTTCGAGGAGAACTTGGCAGCGCAAGGCAGCGAGCTGAGCGTCGCGAAGGTCGCGATGGCAAAGCCCTGGCCATGGACAGAACTCTCTCAGTTTAGGGTTTAGAGCTATAGGGATTTAGAGGATTTAAAGGGTTTTGGGGTTTAGGGCCTAGGGTGTTTAAATGCCATCCTGTTTGAAAGCCCTCTTAAGCCCTAAGATCTCCAAACTTATGGGGTGGCTTTTGTGCGGTCCTTGTCCGTTTTCGTCTCGTCACCTGTCCTGATGTGGCCAGGACCAGATATGCGGCCTTCATGGATGAGATTGCCTCCCGTGGTCAAGTCAAAGTGAATGTCTACGAAGAGTGGGTCGAAATCACTGCAGGCATGGGCTTCGCACCTCGCAAGGAAAAACAGCCGCCAACAGCTGAATGGATAGATCCTGCCTCTGCCGATGCTGCCCTGCGACTCGTCATGCAAGATCGTGTAGAAGTATCACCAAAGGTTGTGGTTCCTGAGCGTCATGATTGACGGAGGACGAGGATTCGGACAGGGATGATGACAAACAATGATGACGGCGACGGTGACGATGCGACTGCTCATAGCCATGATGATGATGGTGATGATGACGAGGGGGAGGAGGAGGAGGAGGAGGACGAGGAGGAGGAGGAGGAGGTTGAGGAACCTCATGATTGGTCATGGTGATCAATGCGATGACCCACATAAAGGTGGCTATGGTGGCGAGGTATATCGCAATGATGACGGCAGCTTATCATCCGGACTCTTGCTGAGGCAGTTGCAACGCTTTCGTTTCCAGACCCCATGCGTTTCTTCTTTGAGGTTAGATGCACTGGAAGTGCTTCACTGCTTTGGCGAAGTACCTATCACCATAGAGTCCCACGTCAAAAGTGGCAAGGGCAAGGCAGATTTCTGGGAAGCCATTGCAGCCAACAGAGCAGAGCTGGTGAGGCCAGCTGCTATCTTCAAGGGGCCAACGATGGTTTAGGGCTTTACAGTTATAGGTTGATTGTTAATCACCTATTGCTGTGCCTGCACATAACTTGTGGCCCAGAAATGTGCGATCAGAACTGGCAGAAGGCTCATGTATAAGTGTATAATATTGTTGTTGTTATTGTTGTTTTTGTGGTTGTTTGTTATTATTGTTATCATCACTGTTGTTATTATCAGCCGTAATGTTGTTACATGTAGATCCTAGTGTTAAAAAATATATAGATAGGTAGATAGATAGATATTGATTGATATTATCATTTTACAGGTAATGTTGGTATGTGTATATATATATATATATGTATGTGATACTAACTACTGTGTTATGTTATATTATGTTCTAGTATATTTCCTATTATGTATTATGTTCTGTTCTGTTCTATCATATTATGTTATATTTATTCATATTATATTGTACTGTATTAGATTATAGGATGGATGGATGGATGTTGCGGCCTACAGGGCACTGTGGCCGAAGGGAGCCTTCCCTGCCGCCTTCTCCGGGAACCTCCGTAAACGTCATCGGTTACCCTCCAGCAACAGTTCAAGGTCCCTGACTGGGCACCCCATGCAAGCAGCTGTGAACTCACCAATGCCCGCACAGACGCCAAGCGCACAGTGTGTTAGATTATAGTATATTATTTTTATATTCTACTATATCATATTGTATTATATTATGCTGCATTAGATTAATTAACGTGTAAGCAGATCATATCTAATGTGTTGCTTTTGCCGTGGAGGGGGACGGACATAAGAAAATTGCGAGCTGCACTTAAGATGAAGTTTGACGCCAAGTAATTCAAAGGCAACCAGCCGCGGAGAATGCCGGAATCGTTTTGCTCTGGTGGCTGTTGATTCTTTGCCTTTTTGGTTATGGATGAATCTGATCATATAGCGCCAATTCTCCATAGAACTTGGAACACCAGCACCAAAAAAACATACAGCCAAAACAATTACGTCATGTTCGCAGGATCTTTTGTTGAAGGTTATTCTCAGGCAAAGGGTTTGACTCCACACGACAGCAGACCAAAAACAAAACTCGACGCAGTTCAGGCATTACCTGCAGATGTTTTTTCCCCAACAGCGTAAGCCATGGGGTCTTCAGCCGAAATAAAAGGGCTCCGGCAGGTTCCGGGGCGGTTCCGCAATGGGTTCCGGCAGGTTCCGGGGCAGTTCCGCGATGGGTTCCGGCAGGTTCTGGGTGGTTCCGAAGGGTTCCGGGTACCCATACCCCGATCCGAAATCGAGCTCGCTAAGCTTCCAAACCGACGCCACATGCATTACCCGAGGCCTCCTAAACGCATTTGGCTTGCGTTTCAGCAGATCAGGAGCTCCATGCCGTTTCCAAACTCGAAAACGCAGCCACCCATAACCCGCTCGAATCAGAATGTTTTGTTCAATGCCCCCATCTACAGCTCTATCAGCTTTTCTGGCATCTTCATGTGAGCAACGACAGCCACTCCGCTGTTGGGGTTACTCAATGGAATATGGTGTTTCGTCTTGGGTTGGGGGCTTGCAGCCAGACTAAACCAGGGCTTGCAGCAACCGAGAGAAACTTTTGAGAAGTTCCTGCTAACGCAGCAGACATGTAACGTTGATGTGCAGTCGAAAGGGATCCCCCAACATTTTGCGTTTATGCATGTTGCAATTGCGTCAAATCATGAAAAAGCCCGTCAGTAATGTTTGGAAGGGACAGACCGGAGTGGCAGCCCTGAGCGCAGGGACGCCTTGGAAGAGAAGGGCGTGCCGCTCTTGCCTCAGAAGACGGCTTCACATGCAGCAGATGCAATCGAGAGAATGCGTGAGTGCGTGATCTGAGGTTTCGGCAAATGACTGCAACGGGCCTGTACGGCAAGGCAGGGCTTGACCGAAACTGTATCATACTGCGGGTGAAGCTCTTTCCACAGAATGAGGCTGCCAGCCAAAAAGGAAGTCCCAGGGGCAAGGCTAAGTAGCCGCTCGCTTTTCCCAGCCCTGACATGTTCTCGAAACCTGCACCTACAAATCGCCCCTAAACCTCGATGGCAGATTGGCTGCTATTGTATTTCCACACACCTGCTCTCTCTGCGGTGCTGTTTTCAAGTCTTACTGACACCATACAACCGATCGCCTGCTTGAGCCAAGACGGTTCGGCAAGCGAATAGGTCAGCATGGAATGTGACATGCTGCAAAGTACATTGCCGTCTCACCTGTGTAAACAGAGAGATGCTCTGAATGCGTGAGAAAAGAGGGTTCAAATGGCATTAGCCAGGCAGGGCGAGCATATCACATGTATGAATAGAGGTGACCATCCATGTGCTGATGATACGTTGACTCGTCAGCACCGTGACTGGAAGCAAGGTAGGCCTATGCAGCCCCCGGGATCCGGTCGACCGACAAAACGACTGCGTGCGGGCCTCGCACTACCCGGAAGCAGGATCGTTTCGAACATGGATTGTATGGCTGAACATGCGAGCTGCGAGGTCCTCTGCCTTCAGCTGCGGAGATGTGCACTCGGCATGTGCTGGGTGACGGGAACTGTCATGTCTGGAGCCAGGGCAAACATGCGAACAGTTGCTGAACGAGTCGCAAAGCCAGGCCTTCATCCTTAAAAGCATTGCTGCTCGCAGCACGGGGCCCCTGCAAGTTGTGGATTGTGCACCTGCAGAACAAGCTTTCTTTGAGGCCCTGCCGGACAAGCAACAGTTCATTGATGAGCCACCCGGCCGCGATTTGTTCGTCGCATATTCGCTTCTGTTGCATGCCTTCTATCCCGAGCTGCAGTGGCGGTGGAAATTACGGCCTGAAGTCGAAGCTGAGGTGGCTGGCCGCGCTGCGACTTGGCTGCCGAGGAGAGCTACAAGCGGACTCTGCTTCAGATATGAGCAGTCCGAGGGCTCATCCAAACGTGTGCATCAATGAAGTGGCAGACGTCCAGTATTGTCCTCGGGTGATGGGTGCAATCTACTTTCAGGGTGGCAATGTGAATGCGGCTAAGCTGCAAGGCGCCTCGATCAAGAGGACATAGCGGTTCTGCCGGTACCTCCCCTGGCAGCAAGCTGAGATACACTAGTCCAATGCCACTTGTCAATGCTAGTATGTCAGACCTGTGCCCATAGCAAAGGTGAAAGGGGTGTTTCGCGACATCTTGGCTTGCGAGGCGGACACGGAGCTTTTCTGCAGAATGCCCCATGGACTCTTTTTTGGTCTGAAGTCTGAGTATTGCTGCTTGGTGTAACCCAGTTTGCTACGAAGCCTTAGTCAGCACTAGCACGGATAGATATCCTGCCAACATGAAGGCAGAAAAGCATCGAGAGCACACTGAAGTGTTGAAGGACACGCTGGTCAGGTCACCCAGATTTCGCATGGTGAAAATTGAGTAGTAGTTTTTCACTTCCCTGCGGTCTCTTTCTAAACAAAGGCACGAAGTGAAGAGTTTCTTGCGCCACTTCGTGCGGACCTCAACGTTGTTGAAAATCGACCTGCCACGCTCCGGAGGCTTGTCTCACCGAGGTGATCGGAATATGCAGCCGCCGCTGGCAGAGTCAAAGTATTTTCAGGACATTCGAGTGTATGGTCACATCAGCATCTGCCAAAAACCTCGGAGAAGGATGTAGCTACTTTCTCCAGGACCAAAAGAATTACAGACTTATCCTCAAGAAGGAGGAGATCGAGGTACCGAACTCGTTACATGAGCCGTTCTTTGAATTCTTTCGCCAATCCGCACAATCAGGCCGGCGTGCGGATTGCTGCGAGGCGCATTGAGACCTGGTGTAAAGGGGAGCGCAGGGGACTTACAGGGTATGTAGTTACGCACTGAAGTGTGCCCTGAACTGCTGTGAACCAACGCCATGGGCCGATACCGATGCGGCGAGGCATCGTTCTCGTGGCAATCCTCAAGGGCGCCTTCATGTTCCTCTCAGATTTGTGCTCCCCGGCGGCTGATGGAAGAAAGGGCTACGTACAAGCACCTGGGAGAGCAACGCCTAATCGCATGTGCCATTCTCTGAGGTAAGAACTTGATACGATCGAGCCTCAGCTCCTTACGAAACATTCCGATGACTCAAGCAAGGACGTTGAAGCCAAGTCTTCTGTACCTCACTGAGGCCCGTATTCGGTGTATTTCATCGAGGTGCGGCAGGATGGAGGGACTGGTGCAAAAGGGTGGTAGCCAGAGACTGCGTACAGGCGTCTTCCTACAAAGAGAAGCGCTCGCAGTCAGGCCAACTTGCGTCTCAGGCATCCCAAGCTCTGCCACGGAAAAGCTTTCGAGAGGTTCCGTTGAAATCACTGGCCCGGATGTCGCAAGTTCTAAGTTCTGCGACACAACGACCAAAGCACCTCACAAGGCCCTGGTGCGAGCGGCAGCATGCCTACTCTAACCCGCTCTCTGCCCAAAGGTTGTCCTCATCGACGAGCTTTTGGACAACGGGAAAACGATGCAGGTCTCGACTCTCCGAATGCACTGCCTCTCTGCACGCGCCTGCAGACCAGGAGATGAAGCAGTTCTTTCTGTCGAGATTATCAGCGACTCATACCGAAAATGATGTTGGAACCCCAGATTCTCAATGCAAGATTTGCCAGAGCAAATCTGAACATGCTCAGCATGCGGCCTTGTGTTTCTCATTCAGGTTTTGACAGTATGCCTCTTTAGCAAAGAGCGCCAACGTGAGTGGCCGGAGGCTGGCCCGTCATCTGCACCAAAGGGATAGGGCCCTGCCTTCCGCGCGAGGCAGATATCATTGGTGTTAGGAATCTGCCAGTAGCCTGGCCGTGGGCCTTGCTGGTTCGCCAGATTCGAGTAGTCTCTTGAGGCCCGACTTGTGGCTGGTTGGCTACGGTTTGGATGCGACTTGGCCCAACCGCAGCACCGACGTGTTGACAGTCCTTTCTCAGCGCTACAAATTGGAGTTAATCTAGCCAGATCCGCAATCATGCATGTTCAGGAGGAGAGCCACGTGGATTAACGGTACAATACACTACGGTTATCGCATGTTCACCGATCTTGTCGGGAGTGTTCGCTTCCTTGCGCGATGCAGCGCTGCTGTTTGGCGGCAGTGCTTCGCTTCTGCAAAGGATCGTGGAACAAAGCGTGGCTGGACAGAGCTGTTCGCCATCCCAAAGGTGCCACATGCACGTTTGAGCGATATCCGCCTCCGAGAAGCCACTTTCTAGGTCAAGATCATTGATACTTTCGATGTGGACGAGGCACGACGCGCAATTGTCAGATTGCATCAAATGCAGAACGGCAGCTACAGAAGACCATCCCTTTTGCTTCTGGAAGCCGTCAGCAGAACAGCCGCGGGAGAAGTGGCAACGACCCGTCGTGTTGCGTTCAGTACAGGATTCGTTGGTCAGCTCGGAGCACCTTGCTCGCGTTCCGAACTAGATTCCAGTATGTGCTTCGTTCAGCATGCACAACCAGGACATGCGGGTTCACAGCGGCACTTTGCGCTGCCTGTGCATGTGTGACCAGGTTCAAAGGCTGCTGGAACACTTAGACGAGAATGCGAGCCTGACGGGGCAGATGGTCTTCGCAGGCAGACGCTGGTAGTACCAGCTTCTCCTGCGATAGAAGAAAAGGAGCTGACAAATTGAGGGCTCTGCTTTGTCGGGACGAGTCAGCCCGCTGACAAGTGTTCTTGAATTGCGCAAGCTAGCACAACACGGCCGGTACATGTGCAGCTACACGAGGTTGCAAAATCATCGTGTGCAGGCTTTGAGCTCACTTACTCGAACAAACAGAAGTATCGCTCCTCCTCCGCACCTGCAGTACCCGGGCTTTGATTGAATTTGTGTTTCTGCTTTCCCGAGGTGTTCACGGATTGGACTTCCAGGCAGAGGGCCTGCAAACGAAGTAAGGAAGTGACGACGTCAGAACATCCTGCTGAGGGACCGCTGCGCTTGAAAGGAGCGAAGGCTTCACAGGCAGGATTCGGATCCACGCAAGACGAGGATGCCAAAGGTTGCTAAGCACGAATGAACGCAACGAGCTTGATTCATGCTTCCAGGCCAAAGCTGTCACCAGAGATGACATTCGCACGTCATGCGCTCAGCACTTCTTTAGCCTTGTGGATGAGTTCTTTGCATTTAGGCTAGTAGTCGGGGTTGGAAGCTTAAAGGTCCTAGCACTTGCCATGTGCCCTGTGCATCGATCCTCGCGCATGTTTGCTTTTCTGCTCGAGGATATTGGATTCCATTCCGCGAGTCAAAGGCAAGTTCGAGCACGAACTGCAGTTCTCCTTCATTCAGGCCGATGCTCAAGCAGTTCGATTCAGAAATTGTTCGTTGATGTCCTTCTTGTACAGAAGTGAAAAGTGCGGCGTCACGTCGAGGAAGATTGTTGAATGGGAGGTTTGTCAGATTTTCAGACTGCCTCCCCCCCCCCGCTCTCCTGGACTGCAGACACTCAGAGAGTATCCGGTTCGAGTATCCCTCAATTCCGGTGGCCATGAACATCTCTCGCAGAGTATCACCCGGAGTGTTCCTGCTCTAAAGTGTCCCACAGCGCATACCGGGAGTGCCCACCCCCAGAGCTGACATAAAGGCATATGTATGTATATATAATATGTGTGTATATATATATATACATATATATATATATACACATATACATATATACATATATATATATATGTATATATATTGATATCACAACATCAGGCCACATCACATCCTGCAGATTATCTGCTTGAATTCTTCTACATATTTTGGAGATGTCCGAAGTCGATGGGTAGGTTGTTTTGACAGGAGAATGTGGCTCTGGTCCCAGAGGATGACATTTTTGCTGGCAACAACCAGGTGCCGTGGTGCTCCGTCTACGACTGCAGATTTGTTTGAGATCTAAAGAGCTTATACCGATGCCAGATTTTCGCGGAGATGCGCTGCCGGCTGCGAAGGTCTGACGATGTGCAGTCATTCTCGAAGTTACATGATGCAGCTGGGTCAGAGCCGCTGCTCGCAAAAGGCAAATCCAAGCTGCAGCAGAACGTTTTGGCGTGAGGGGCCTCTAGTGGCCTGTACAGAAAGCGAGGCTTCGCAAGGTCGCGTGAGTTCAGCGATACATGCGCTGCAACATCTTGCGGCTTAAGTGGGGGAAGCCTTCCTTGTTCACTCCATTGGGGTAGTTGTAGGGTAGGACATTCATGGCATTGCTGCGTTCAGATGACCAGCAAATGCTTCTAAGCAAGCCTCCAAAAGCGGAAGCGCTTGCGGGGGGAGTCAATGGGCGGAGCTCGCATGCAAGAGCCGTGACATCGCATTCAAAAGGAAGCAGCAGGCTGTGGCCGGAGGAACCAGGGTTTGTTGCTTGAGCTCCTGCATCCATAAATAAAGCAGACCGTGCTGCACTCCGCAGAGGTGAAATCACAGCTGGAATCGCAGCAAAAGCGACTTGGCGGCGGCAGCTCTTGCCAAAGATTTTCAGGCAGTAAGGTTCAGCTGCCGTGGACACTGCGTCAGGATCGAAACATGGCGATCCGAGAAGCAAACTCCGCGTGGAAGGGTTCGCCGGCAAGTGTTGTGTGCTTTTAGTTCCTGCCTTGCCCGAAGCCTACATGTTCTACAATTGAGCCTCGCGCACATCAATGTTTGGGACCACTTGCGACCGCATGTGCTCGAGACAGGACAGGTGAACGGGTGAGTGGTGGTTCCAGATAAAGCTGGACTCGAGCTTGCCGGAAGGAAGACGAGGGAGAGAATTCCTTAACACTTGTACTCGTAGTTGGTCAGTCTCACAAAAGGGGAAGCGAAGGAAGCCTTCCACAAGTAACGGCTTGTCAGGGCGGGTTGTGGGGAAACACGAAATCGCGAAGGGCTGCGAGTTGAGAGTAGTACTAGTACCAGGAGGCCCGAACGGTGGGTGTTTTTGTTCTTGGGCGGAGCTGCCGCTGGAGCTTCGGAATGAAAGAAGATAGAACGGAGAGAACTACAAGGGCTTACAGAGCGTGCCGCCCGGCACTTGACCGACTCGAGCGGCTGAACAGAGACCTTAAGTTCGGAAGAAGATGAGCTCCACCGGCTCCACGGAGGCAAAAGTGAGAGGTCGAGGTGTGCCATCATCATGCCGTGGGCTCCACAAAGACCAGTGTGCCGGCCGTCAGAAAACATGGGGGCAGGCAACAAACATGTCGTTCAGAGGAGATCTGTATTCTGCAAATCGATTCACACACGTATGCATCAAAGTCCAGCAGAAATGTTACTCCCTTCATAGAATGCATCACAGACTGCGTCGTTTCTATTGTTCAATTTTCGCCCGCGCATCTACCTCGGTGCTGCTAAGCTGATAAGAACATGCGGACATGCGGCAGTCTAGGGAAGAGTCCACGCAACACATGCACTCCTGCACTGCTTGTTGGCGCCTTCGTAAGAAGAAGACTCGCATCAAGGGCGATTTTGCTGTGTCGGGTGCTGTAGCTTCCTGATGACAGCCTTCGAGTGGCCTTTCCGGCTCCATGTCGCTTTCCTATGCCGAGGCCTCGGTAGGTTGGGCCGAAAGCCGTTTGATTTCACAGTCGTCAGATCCAAGGCCCGGAGATAACGCACTTCTCTGGGCACGTACATCTAGCAGGCCCAGTAGGGTTTTGCTCAGTCTTCGTTTGGACCGAAAGCTGAAGACCAGGTCAACGTTGCCTGGCAGTCAATGCATCCAGTGAGCTGTGGCCTGCCATGCAGCTGGTTTGGACAGCCACTGACTACGAGCCAAAGAGCGTTTATTGAGTGTTACCGCTACTTGCACATGGCAGGCACGCGTGGCTGGAACTGCAGTCTAGTGAATAAGTGCTTGGAAGCTTCTGAGAACTGAAGTTCTCCGACTTCAAGTTTCCACGTGGTTCATATGCTGCTGCTGTGCTCCACGGATTGTAAAACTGGCTCCATGGATTGTCAAGATCCAGAGACTGTAAGTCACAAGGAGTGAGATTTTGTGTAGTCGTGCCCAGGGAATGCTAGGTTCTTTCTGCAAACGGTTGGCCTGTTGGCTGCAGTGGTTGCAATTATATTGGGTCTGAATAGATATTTATGATAAGTTTAAATAATTAGGCTGAAATATATAGGTTCGTATTCGGTATATACAGGATTAAAAGGTCTAAATGATATCGGAATAAAATATATAATTGAAATATTCGCTCTAATTTAAGAGCCTAGTAATAACAAAATTGAAAATTTCTCATATAAAAATAGTAATAAGGTTGTGATAGAATAGAATTTAATGATAATATATAAGGCTTTTTTAATAAGAAATAAAATAAGAAGAAAGATAGATTTTATGCGCCCTAAAAGAAAATACCGTGCGATTTATCTACTCTATAAAATGCTATGGCTAAATTAGTCCTATATGGTATAGTACGTTTCGAGCGCCTTGGCTTCAAAATTTTCGATAAATTTTCTGGACTCCGGCGAATAAATTGATTTGGTATATTCAGAATCTAAAATTTCTGGAAAATTTAGAAGTTCGGGCTGCAATTTTTAGAGGGCGGGGCTTCTTCGTTGGTCTCAGGCTAGGCCTAGTGTTTTAAGTTTTTGGAAAATTTGGGGATCCGGGTAGCTCGATTTGCGGAAAATTTTTAGTTAGCACTCCAAATTATCTAAAAATTTAGACACCGAAAATTCAGAGAATAAATATAGCCTTCTAATATCTTATATTCTACATGCAGAATATGTATTTGAACTATTTTATAGTCTTGAATTGGATCTCGTATGTTATTTATTCATGTAGGTTATCGATAATAGGGATTTTCTTATGAAGTATTATGGATGAGCGCATTTGTCTGTCTATGTGTCTCTCTCTTTATCTCTCTCTCTCTATCTGAGTCGGTTCGGTTGATCTGGGACTTAACCGGAAAATTCAATAGCTCGGACTAAGTTTTTAAGAAGCGAGATTTCTTCGGAAGTCTCGGGCTAGGCCTAGACTTCTAATTTTTTTAGAAAATTTGGGGATCCGGATAATTCGAGGCCTCGGTCTCGAAATTTGCCGAAAATTTCAATTATTACTTCTCTAAATTTTGAAAAAATTTAGAATCGATAATTTTCAGAAAATTTAGAGAATAAATATCGCTTTCTAATATCTTAGAGTCCAAATATAGAATATTAATTATAGCAATTATATAATCTTATATTGGATTATCATGTCTAATCTATTCATATAGATTATAGATTATAGGGATTTTCATATATAGTACTATGAAGTAATATTTGCACGCGAAAGTTCAATATTTATCTATCTATCTATTTATCTGTCTATCGATCTATCCGTCCGGCCGTCTATCTATCTATATCTCTATTTATCTGCCTATCTATCTATCTATCTCTCTATTTATCTTTCTTTCTATTTATTTATTTTTCTGATATAATTTATCGCAGCCATATTCAGATTTTTATTGATAATTGCTTCGGCCAAGGGCTCCATGAAGCTTCATGCACAATGTAATTTATCGTGAGGTGCTTTCAATTTGATAGTTACCGTTGGCTCCTATGCAGCCAGATTGCAGCCGGCGACAAATTGCGTATACGGACATTTTATTTCTATATTATTGTTGCCCCTCCCAGGCTACACAAAAGGGCTCGCGTCCTACCTATAATTCTGCCCTCGACCTTCGGCATGGTACTCTGGATGAAATTTGACGCAAGGTGGTGTCACTTGAAGCTTGGCTTCTTCTTTGGGATGGCTGCCATAAAAATAAATAATCCCAGATTTCCTCTGGCGCCATGAATCGATATCAATAGATATCTAAATATTCATGATTATGCCGGAAAATTACGTGCAAGAATTCGATATCAACTTGTCCGCAATTACACCGCTATACGAGATTTGCACCTTCGTGCTGAGATCTGGCGCTCTAAATTTTCTATAAATNNATTTTCAGATTTGGGCTGTCGTTGCCAGAATATTGTCAAGCTGCATATTCCACTTGAATGCCGCTGCTGGAAAGAAGCAGTGGATCAACTCTAATTACTTGATAATACGAATCTAAAGCAAATTCATCTAAGAATAGATTCTTTTGCTTTTATTAGAAATTAATATCGATTAGAAATAATTGAATTTAGATATATTGAATTTGATTATTATTGAATTATTTATTTGAATATTTATAATAGAATTTAATAATTAATTCATTATAATATATTAATTCGATTTGTTTTTAGAAATAATTAGATTAAGCAAAAAATATTATAGAATTTTCATATATGTTTATATAATTAATTAATAATTAAATAAATTCGTAATTTATTGAAATAGCTATCGACCCATTATATAATAAAGAAATTTATTTCGATATTATTAGATCGTTCTATTATTAATTTATCTAAACAATTTTATAAAAAAAGAAAATGTAAGAAA